CTTAATGTGGGAGGAAAGCCCGAAGTGATGCAGGTCTCAGACGTTTACCACTTCGGTGAAACCCACGAGCACGGGTATGGTGCTGACAAACCTAAAAACATAATCGGGGCGAACCGGGATTCGAACCCACAATCATAGGTTTCTGGCGTGCCCAAGGGACGCAACTCTGCACAGCGAATCGCGGCGCCTTAGACGACTAGGCCACCCGTGCCCCCTGTTACATCAGTGAATGCTATTGAGAATATCAGTGAAGGATGTAGAGTTTATCAGTGTATTTTTGTATGTTTGTTGTTTAACGCCGCATTCAGCAATATTCTAGCTATATGACGGGGGCCTGGACCAGACAATCCAGTGACTGACATCATGCGCATCGATCCACGCTACTCGCCTCTTACGACAAGCATAGTCGCCTTTTACGGCAAGTATGGGTTGCTGAAGACGTGTTCTACGCCGAATCTTCACGGGTCGAAATTATCAGTAAATGCTTTTGTGAATATTAGTGAATGCTGTTGAGTATATCAGTAAATGCTGCTGGGTACATCAGTGAATGCTATTGAGAATATCAGTGAATGCTGTTGAGTGTATCAGTGAATGCTGTTGAGTTTATCGGTGAATGCTGTCGAGTATATCAGTAAATGCTGTTGAGTAGATCAGTGAATGCTGTTGAGAATGTCAGTGAATGTTGTGAATATTACTGAATGCTGTTGAGTAGATCAGCGAATGCTGTTGAGTATATCAGTGAAGGATGTAGAGTTTATCAGTGTATTTTTGTATGTTTGTTGTTTAACGCCGCATTCAGCAATATTCTAGCTATATGACGGGGGCCTGGACCAGACAATCCAGTGACTGACATCATGCGCATCGATCCACGCTACTCGCCTCTTACGACAAGCATAGTCGCCTTTTACGGCAAGTATGGGTTGCTGAAGACGTGTTCTACGCCGAATCTTCACGGGTCGAATTTATCAGTAAATGCTGTTGTGAATATTAGTGAATGCTGTTGAGTATATCAGTGAATGCTGCTGGGTACATCATTGAATTCTGTTGAGAATATCGGTGAATGCTGTTGAGTGGATCAGTGAATGATATTGAGAATAGCAGTGAATGCTATTGCGTGTATCAGTGAATGCTATTGAGAATATCAGTGAATGCTATTGAGAATATCAGTGAATGCTGTTGAGTTTACAAATGAATGCTGTTGAGTCTATAAGTGAATGCTGTTGAGTATATCTGTGAATGTCGTTAGTATATCAGTGAATGCTGCTGTTACATCAGTGAATGCTATTGAGAATATCAGTGAATGCTAGCTGTTGAGTATATCAGTGAATGCTGTTGAGTTTATAAGTGAATTATGTTGAGTGTATCAGTGAATGCTGTTGAGTGTATCAGTGAATGTTGTTGAATATATCAGTGAATGCTGTTGAATATATCAGTGAATGATGTTGAGTGTATCAGTGAATGCTGTTGAGTATACCAGTTAAGGCTGTTGAGTACATGAAGATGGGCGGATAACCTTGCTTCATTTCAAATACTTTGATAAAAATGAATGTACATTTCGTTCCCGGCAGAAGACTTTACAACATTGACATTAATACAAACACATATATGGGTTTTATCTAACGTTTATCTAAATATAAACTTGGTATGACGAAAGGTGCGAGGTAATGTCCTTCTCGAGAGACATTCCTATCAACCCGTGCTGGCGTGTGTGTCCATCATCATGTTATTTTATCAGTTTATGTATTATTACTATTGAATTAATCGCCTCTGTGGTGTTGTGGATAGAGCGTCTACCCAGTGGGCGAAAGGTACCTGGTTGAAGCCAAAAAGACGGTACTTGTTTTTACCCTGCCTTGCACTCGTCCTAAAGGGGATAAAGTAGTGTTCAGCACGGAGGGGGCTATAAAACTATAAAACCGTCATAAGTCCGGAGTACTACAAGCAGTCACACACACACACACACACACACACACACACACACACACACACACACACACACACACACACACACACACACACACACACACACACACACACACACACCAAACAGTTCATAGCTTTACTATGTTTTAAAAACTAATTTTAATCACTGGATATATAATAAATACAAATCATGGGATAACGCTCAGTTTAAAAAACTATCCATTGGATTGAGAAATATTTCGTCTAAACACTACCCTTAACACTTGTTGCAGCTTTATTGTGGCGAATCCCGCGAAGATCCGGGTTAGAATTGGTCTTGTCGTAAGAGGCGACTAACGGGATCGGGTACATCGATGCGCATAGTTCCACTGGATTGTCTGGTCCAGCCTCGATTATTTACAGACCGCCGTCATATAGCTGGAATATTGCTGAGTGCGGCGTTAAACAACAAACAAACAACAATGTGGCGATGTACTGGAGAAGAGAACATTTGTTGGTTTCAGTTTTAGCGGAAGGATGGACATGAAGTGGCGGATATGTTGCAGAGGAATTGTCATTCATTGGATTTGTGGCAGAGGCGTCGACAGTCATTAGTCTGAGGCGTGAATATGTTCGGACATGGCCTTATTAGTACATATATCAAGTCGAGACATTATACATTTTATTGTAGTGACACCATTAAGTGTGTAGGGGGCATGGGTGGCCCAGTCGTCTAAGGCGCCGCGATTCGCTGTGCAGAGTTATGTCCCTTGTTCACGCCAGAAACCTATGATTGTGGGTTCGAATCCAGGTTCGCCCCGATGATGTTTCTAGGTTTGTCAGCACCATACCTGTGCTCGTGGGTTTCACCGAAGTGGTAAACATCTCAGACCTGCATCACTTCGGGCTTTCCTCCCACATTAAGCTGACACGCCGCGATATAACTGAAATACTGTTAAAAGCGGCGTTAAACCCAACTCACTCACCCACAAGATGTGTATGCATTGACGTCAGACTGAAGTATGTGGCAAGGATAACCCTTGGAATAACACTCAGTAGATAAATCACAGTCCGGCTAAGAAACGGAATGGTGATTGTGAATGTTTAGTTAAAGTGTAATCAAAGTCAAAAGAAGTTTATTGTACAAAAAGCCTACGGCCCATATACAAGAGAGCGTTACGCATGTAGATACAGTCATAAATGTTATACACTGGGACATACACGTTGTTTGATTAATTCGTTTTTCTTGGATGACATATGCTTAATGTATAGAGAACGATTAAATATATTAGATTCGTTCCTTGTTGTCAAAATAACTACAAAGGCGTTTATCGGTGTAAATGCTATTAAATAATCTTTGAAAGATTACTTTTGAAGATCATTGTAAAATGGACAGACAATCACAAAATGAATTTCATTTTCTAGCTCTATGTTACATGTTACAAATTCTTTTCAATTTTTCAATGGACAGTTTTCTTCCTTCATTTACAAATAGGTCTTGTAAACCAAGTCGATATCTTATTAAATGTTTTCTTAAGTTTTCCGTAGTGAGTACTGACAAATATATGTCTGGTTGAAGTAAAGTCTTGAACGTTTTGTAATATTCATAACGTGAACTATCTTCTAAAGTGGAATGCCATTCTTGTTAGAACATATTCATAGACCGATTTCGAAATTCATTAAGAAACATATTTACATTTCCAACTAACTGACATAGCCATATAAAACCCAAACCATGAGAAAATAAAAGATTTCTTATATGCGATGTTCAAGTATTCTGTCCCATGTTATCTAAATGTTGAAGCATGTTATAAGCTAATTTAGGGAGACGTTGTTCATACAAATGAAGGATTTTAAACCAGTATTTTACACATCTAATCTGAGAGTTGATATATAATGGGTATCTACCACATTCACCATAAACCATACAATTTGGTGTAGAAGATCCGACACACAGAAACGTTTTACATGCTAATAAGTGAACCTTCTCTAAACAGTCATGACATTTAAATCCCCATACTTCAGAACCATACAATAAAACTGGTTGTACGAGATATAAAAAAACATATAAGGTGACATAGTTCCAACCTTATGAGCACAAGACATTACACTTATTTTTAGATTTACTGATAATCTCTATTCTTTCATGTATGTACTTAAACTATTAAATTGTCTTTGAAGACCAACAACAGTATCTGGCACTAAAATGACATCGTCTGCGAAAAGTAGCATAAAAATTCCTATCAAATCTGGAAACATTTGGATACCATGTTTACCATTTCAAGCTATATCGTAATATAATTCTTTTTGGACAAATGAAAATAAACTCAAATAACTTATTCAAATATTTGCAAAGAAAAGGCATAACTTCAAATTTAGAACATTTATACATTTCGATAACTACATCATAAGGACCAGCTGCTTTTCCCTTTAAGGTGATTTATCGCATGTATTATTTCGTTTTCAACAAAGGGTGAATATAATATAACTTCATCAACATCAGTGTAGAATTCAGTAAAATAATTTTGCATATCATCAATTGCCGTAGTGAATATTGCATCATTTGAAAAAAAAACAACTTAAAATGACAAAGCAACTGTGATTTGGTTATGTTATCTGTAGCAGACGATATATTTTTGAGAGATCGTATTTGTTTCCAGAACGCAGAAGGGTTGTCAATCGACTCTTTCAGTTTGTCTTGTCTGTGTCTACGCATATTAAATTTGTATTTCCGACAGCAATTTCTATATTTATTCCTACTTTCGCAATATTTGTTTCTGTCAAAACTAGTACGAGTAGTTCTAAATCTTCGTAGGGCTGTGCGGGCGTTACGTCTTGCAATTCTACATCCAGTATTAAAAGGTATTATTTTTATCCACGTTCAGTTTTAATTCTTTTATAAGACCCTTGAAGATCCGGGGTAGAATAAGTCTTCAGGAACCCACGCTTGCCTTAGAAGGCGACTAAGCTTGTCGTTAGAGGCGACTAACGGGATCGGGTGATCAGGCTCGCTGACTTGGTTGTTGATGCATGTGATCGTATCCCAATTGCGTGGATCGATGCTCATGATATCAATCACTGGATTGACTGGTCCAGACTCGATTATTTACAGACCGCCGTCATATAGCTGGAATATTGCTGAGTGGCGTTAAACAACAAACAAACAAAACAAACTTTTCTCATACAAGATGAGTGATTTTAACTTAATTAAATAAATATGGACATACATGTAAAATATGCTTCAGTGAGTGTTTCCTAAATTATCCCCTATCAGCACATATAGTACTATAATAAAAATTACTGATTTATAAATACTCATATGTTCCATCCTCGAGAGAAGGTCAATGTTGTGAGCGGGCACACATAGTACCAGGTGAGACTTGCTTCGGGCCCACAAGGCTGAGTTCCGTCTGAGTTCGAGTATCTGTAGTGAGGGCTTGGTCAGGGTCATATCTACCACACAGAGCAGAGAGGGCCTCACGTCGGAATCTTTTGGAGGAGAAACCGTAAATGAAGAGGTTGGCAACACAGTTGACGAAGGGCAATTGGACAGCAAAATCAGACATCTGGAGCTGTGTGAATGTCCGTTGAGTACTTGTCATGGTCTTGCTGAATAACAATGCCTGGACAAGACGTGGGATAACACTCAGGACATAGATGATGGTCAAACTGAAAAACATGGCCGTAACGGCAACAGTTCTTTTATGGCGTCTTGTTGAAGGTAATGACACATTCATGTCTCGAGTATGGCGTCTCAGTTTCAAGACAATTTTGGAGTACAGCACTGTCAATGAGCTCATGATGCACACAACGAATATAAACATCCAGATGGAGAATGCCAGGGCTATCTTCATGTCTTTAGCGGTTTCAGTGTAGTCACACGTCAAACCCTTGACCAAGCCCTCCTTGTTGTTCACATTCCACTTAATTTGTAACTTGCTGGCTGCCATTATGAAGACAATAGGAAGGCCAGATACGAAAGAGAAGATGATACACACAAGCGTCACTTTCCTAGCCAGATTCATTGTTAGCTGAGATTCATGAGGATAACAGATTTTCCTAAACCGTTGGAAAGCGATCACAACGTACAGAATCCCTGTTGTGGAAGAACTGAAGTAACAGACAAAGGTGATGTACTTACACATTTCAGAGATGTTTATATTTGGAATGACTTTCGATATCAAAGACGAAGGTATTACTCCAATGGAGGTGATGAGATCAAGAACTGCTAATGTTTTGATGAAGAAACCAAAAATTGCGAGGTTGATTTTCTTGGTGTAGATGTAAAGGATGAAACCGTTTCCTGGGATCCCAACAAACACCAACAGCACACAGAAGAAGGCGATGATGGGATGAAGCTTAATCCCTTCCAAGATGCTGATGGGGATAAGGGGCAGACTCGCTGTGTTGTTCATTGTTATCTGGAAATACATGTTTGTTTATGGACGGTGGAAGCACTACAATGACATTTGCAACTATACAAAGCTTAGACACTGATCAACCCCTTTTCCACCTGCATTACATCAGGGTATAGATACACAGATTCAAATTATTGACGATATATCATCCTGACAAGGCCTTCGAGGGATCGACCATTTGATTCTCTGGGGAGGAGGTCCTGGGATTTTGTATGGAGACAAGATAGTTGTAAAACCTGGTAAGCCTAAATATTTTTTTTAGAAAGCATCTTGCATCAATGTTTTTTTGGGCAGACAATGTCTTCTTTTATCATCAGTCTGAAGTATTTTCGTCCACAATTTATTCTTTTCGATTAAAAGCTCATCTCCCGTTCCTGTCCTGCGTATTATTGTTGTCTTTTGAAACACGCAGCATGTTGGGTTCTAACAGGATTCTGCATCTGGTTATAATACAATCCTGTCCAGAACCACGGATGTATCGATGCTCCGTACGACATAATTTATGATGTAAATGTTTTCACTTTTTCACCAAATTGCTCACAGCGACAACACAATACATTTTATGTTTTATGGTCCGCCCCAATTTTTATAAATGCTGGGTATGGCCAAGGAGTCTACGTTCAAGTTAGCTAATCAGGTAATATTTACCCGGGCATTTGATGCTATTCCGTTCCACTTCCAGAGGCTGTCTGACGATGTTGAGATACAACGGAACTCTCATATGCACATTGTTTCATAACCATTTTGCTTTGAGGGCTTAACTTTTGCGTCACCACTTGTGTTGACGTCTCAACTTCCAGAACTAAAGGGTTCCGCGCTTGGTGGGTCAAGTACCACGACAAGCATTCAGCATTTTCATAAAATATCGGGGTCTCCAGGAATACGCCTTATATATATCTGAGCTTGTTTCCTTGTAATGATTTCAGACAGGAACAGTGGGCAGTTGGGTGGCAGATGCGCTTGATTTCCCCTATTGTTTCAACACAAGGAAGCTGAAATATCTAACAAATTCGACGGTAATTGCTATGGTGTCATTTCCTTGTATTGACTGGCAGTTGCCTGTTTGTGATTATGGTCCGACGCCATGGGGGCCCTTCTACTGTTTCATTCTCCGATGACACTTCTGATATTGCTATCTTTTCATCTGACAAATATAATTCATGTTTGACATAGCATTCAAGGTGGAAAAACAAATCAGATAAAAACACAAATATAACAAGACAATGAGATAGGAATGTATACCTATTTCTAGATGTTAAATATATCGGATTAGCCATTGTTGTGCACTGGCGTTTTCTAGTCACCTGTGGTATCAGTTCAACATATAGCGCATATTCATCGATACATGGCAGAAGTATTCATTACAGGTTCAGTCGAGGTACATGATAACCTCATCAATTCTATTTTTTTGCAAAAGGTAACCTCATAATATCGTCACCAAATTGTGGCGTTAGGTGGGGTAACGTCATCAATGAAAGTTTGGAAATTTAGGGATATACCTAAATGCTTATGCTTTTATGCATTCGCTCAAAAAATATAAATAAATGTGTTTTAATTAATCTATGTTTGCATTTGGTCCGATGGTTGTAAATGATTCAAGTAATAGTAGCGAAGATTAACGACATATTTGCGGCCAGGGATGAATTATGTCTAGTTGTGTCCCTTTGCTGCCGGGAACCACTACTTGTGGTTTCGAGTCCCAGATTCACCTGAATCTGATCCTTTGGGTGTTAGGAACCTGGCTTGTTGGTTCAATCAATGGAAAAATGTCTACAAATTGTGTCATCCTCTCTTCATCATATATTCGTGATATGAATGAGTCAGTAATTAACGTCGTATCAGCATAAATAAACCGTATAGAGTTATAGTACTTTCTTTATGAATCAAAGCATGTGACTATTGACCTCATATGGAAGTTGAACCATCTATTCAACGGGTTCTTATGAAATAGGATTCCTCAGGAATTCACACACATGTGTGTCCTGCTCGGCATTCCCCCACACAGTTTCCTAGCATGAACAAAATTAGCAACATTTTAGAAAAGGAAATCAAAACTATACCACAGGGATGTAAACAGAACCACGTAGTGTGCTGTATAGCGTCACATTTTCCGTGTGTGATGATCATGGTTTGAAAGTCTCGCACTCATTCATCCCCGGAAACTGAAATAAAATTTGTAGTCGTTGACTTCACACTGTGTCTAGAATCATGTTGGAAATCGTAACATGTTTACCCTGATACTAAATCCAGTGTATGAAGCTTATACTAACACGATACTTCCACAACACAGGAAATACAAGTATTATGATAACAGTCACTCCAAATAGATATGTTAGAATGGCAACAATACAAAAAGACAATTTGTCAAGCTAAACTAACATCTGGACAAAACCACAGTTGAACCTCCGAATAAAACCTCATGGCCCACTGTATTTACTACACAAGCACATACACTCCAGGAACGCTGATTAGGTCAAAAGGATTCATAGTCATTACATGAAAGGACTTTTTTGATGTGTTACTTTGGAGATGAAATTGCCTCTTCAACCATTTTATAAATTTGAATAATGCCTAATATGTGTGACCTTTGTTCTACTACTAAATGCAACGAGATCAGTTGACACACCCAGCTGACGCACTGTTGTTTGGTTGGCCAAGTCGTCGAAGGCATTGGAAGTCTATATTCAGAGTTGCGTCCCTTAGGCGTGAACACTACAATCGTGGTTTCGAATCCCAGATTCGCCAGATTATGTTTCCAGATCGGCCAGCACCATATCCGTGCTCGTGGGTTTCGCCTTGACCTGCATCACTTCTGGCTTTCCTCCCACATCAAGCTGACACGCAGTGAACAAACTGAAAAACTGTTAAAAGCGGGCTTTATACCAAACTCACTTGAAGTATTTAATCACATTGGCATCATTGATTCTACCGATAGCCGCATGTCTGCTGGTAGTTGCTGAGGTCTAGTTATTTTTATGCGAGCATGGATGAGAGACATAAGGTGATGTCGGAACACTCTCGATGTGAAGCCGAAGACAAAAGGGTTGACTATACAGTTTATGAAGGGCAATATGATTATCACATCATAAACATAATGAATGCTGGCAGAGGTTGGGTGATCATTACCTTTGGCTACGCTACAGTACAAAGTCTGCAAAACTCTTGGAGCAGAACTGACTAGGAATATTACAGTCAGGCAGAAGAAGATTCTGGTTGGATTTGTCACCTTCATTTGACTTTGACTTGAGATAGATAATCTGGAGAGTGTACGCTTGTGCAGTCGTACATGCTTACTAATCAATGAATACAACACAACTAGCGTCACAAAGATAGCAATGAGTTCAAGCATCACCCATGATGTGTACAGTGTTGAAATGTGATTACCACGTTCCTCGGCAGTGAAATCACAATGGGACGTCCAGCACAGTCCTTCAGAAGATGATATGTTGTACTTTTCGGCTTTTGTTACAAAAGCATTAGGCGAACATGACAGAACAGAAAATAAGGTACAACCGAGGAGTATCTTCTTGGCATCGTGTTCCTTGAGCTGTGTCTGGCCGTGTCTACATATTTTTCTGAACCTCTGTCCTGCTATGACAATGTATAGAAGTCCAGTGTTTAACCCAAAGAAGTGCTGTCCGAAGGAAAACCAAGAGCACAGAAAAGACCCGTTCCCGATGTTCGGATCCGAAACGACATGCATGTACACCGGGAACAGACACGACGTGCTGACAAGGTTGAGAATAGCAAGGATCTTGATGAAGAAACTGGTGATATGGATGTTGATCTTCTTGGTGTAGATGTAGAGGATGAGGCAGTTCCCTGGGATCCCTACAACCACCAGCAGCACACAGAAGAAGACGGCGGAGGGGTAAAACCGTAGGTCACAGGGGCCAATATCAATATCGGATGCTGTAATGTTCATCCCTAAAGCTGTCTACCTGGAAACATTAAGAGAGAGCTGAGCAATTCCTATGCTGCGTTTGGCAATATTTCACACGCGAAGGACACCAGTTATGGTTTCACACATATAAATAATAGAGATGTTTAGAGGCATGAAGGAACATGATATTAATACGATGTGCCGGTACAGATAACTGATATCTCAGACTACAAAATACCATACAAAGCGTATTACAAGAAAACACACAGTTTTGAATACCAAGACATGTAGAATCTGAATATATACTCAGCGTCTTTATTTCAGGCGTGTGTTTTAGGAAACATTTTCAATCACCTTCAATCTTGCACTTTTCATTGTTTTTAAGTCGTTGTCTATATTTTCTTGATAGCATTCAGTTGGTGTGACTTAGCAACTTCAACTGACTTCTTCAACTGTTAATCACATTGTCAACATACTCAGACCTATTGACGTTTGTTGGCATATGGTTATGTTTGACACCCTACATACCGAGGTGACCCTTCAATAATGACACTGAATATATTATATCATGACTATTTGCAATGTATTGTGTATTAGTCAAGCGTATAAACTAGGGGCGGTTAGGTAGCCTAGTGGTTAAAGCGTTGGCTCGTCACGCCGAAGACCCGGGTTCGATTCCCGACGTGGGTACAATGTGTGAAGCCCATTTCCGGTGGCCCCCGCCGTGATATTGCTGGAATATTGCTAAAAGCGGCGTAAAACCATACTCACTCTCTCACTCACTCACGTATAAACTATACAAATAACTAAGGGTTTCTGTTCTGGTTTCATATATGTTTGACTTTTCGTGTTCTTGAGTGTCAAGGAGTCTGTGATCTTTCAAAGTCAAATGAAGTTTTTGAATCCGGTTTGGGAAACTATTTTTATCATTTCGACGTTTGCATTCTATTTCTTAAACTTATACACAATAAAACGTACGCCCAACATACACGATGTGAGTTATAGGCGATGTCATCTCACATCTGACATCAACAGAACTATGCCATTATTCATTCGTTGTAGGGGGCACGGGTGGCCCAGTCGTCTAAGGCGCCGCGATTTGCTGTGCAGAGTTGCGTGCCTCTGGCACGCCCGAAACCTATTATTGTGGGTTCGAATCCAGGTTCGTACCGATTATGTTTCTAGGTTTGTCAGCACCATACCCGATTATGTTTCTAGGCTTGTTAGCACCATACCCGATTATGTTTCTAGGTTTGTGAGCACCATACCCGATTATGTGTTTAGGTTTGTCAGCACCATACCCGATTATGTTTCTAGGTTTGTCAGCACCATACCCGAATATGTTATTAGGTTTGTCAGCACCATACCTGTGCTCGTGGGTTTCACCGAAGAGGTAAACGTCTGAAGCCTGCATCACTTGGGGCTTTCCTCCTAATTAAGCTGACACGACGTGATATTACTAAGATACTGTTAAAAGCGGCGTTAAACCAAACTCACTCACTCACTCACGTGTTGTATCAAGAAAGTAATCGATCTGCATCTATGAACATGCACCATTTTTCTGTTAGTTCATTTTTAATTATAATATACGAACCACTCGGATATGTCTTTTAGGATGATTATAGATGAATTTGCCTTTTCTAACGAATGTTTCATTGGTATAACATATTCATCACAGAAACATGGCATTCTAACGTACAAATCTTAAAATCAGTCAACAAGTGGACTTGTCGCTTTTACAACAATGTGAGTTATGTTTTACGCCACTTTGTCAAATATTCCAGCAATATCGCAAAGAGAGACACCAGGAATGAGGTTTATATGTTATACCCGCATGGGGCATGGAACTGAACCTTACCGGCGAACGCTTCACCCTACCCGCCGCTCCGCACTGTAGTCATATTATCACAAGAGTAAACCACTGGTGGTTTTTGTTGTAGCCAAAGCCACATTGTGCAAAGCGAAAGGGAAAGACAAGTGAAAAAGTCGATTCAACACCAACCTTCTAAGCCCTGGCTGCTTTATTCGCAAACCGGCACTTCACAATGACCGTAGATGTTCTGATCGTTTACACTCGTCAACCTGTCACTGTGTATCGGGGCTTTATCACGGGAGCTCACCTAGATGTCCGGGTGTCTCACGTGAATTTTCATCACAAACTGTGACTTCGACGAGGATTGGGCACTTAAGTAAATCTGAAGTTAGAGAGACTATCGTTACATGTGCACAATCAATTTCGCAACGAATTAAGAACTTATTAAAGATATTAATGTCCATGACAGGAAAATTGAGCATCTTCTTATTTAAATACAAGAATCACTCGCATTTGAATTAACGTTAGTTTAGAGTAATGGTCATTCAGAAGAATCACAATTGTTTAGAAAGTGATTTATATGCCTTATCGTAAAAAAGTAATGTCATGTTGTTCGCTAGATAATGCCACGTTGCTACCAAATAGATGTCATGTTGCTACTAGTTCAATAATGTCATGTTGCTACTAGTTCAATAATGTCATGTTGTTACTAGTTCAATAATGTCATATTGCTACTAATTAGATAATGTCATGTTGCTACTAATTAGATAATGTCATGCAGCTACTAATTAGATAATATCATGCTGCTACACATGAGATAATGTCATGTTGCTACCAATGATATAATGTCATGTTGCTACCAATTAGATGTCATGTTGCTACACATTAGATAATGTCATTTTGCTACAAACTAGATGTCATGTTGCTACTAATTAGATAATGCCATGTTGCTACTAATAAGATAAGGTCATGTGAAACCCACGAGCACGGGTATGATGCTGACATTATTTCATGTGTAGCAGCATGACATTATCTTATTAGTAGCAACATGACATCTATTTGTTGCAACATGACATTATCTCATGTGTAGCAACAAGACATTATCTCATGTATAGCAACATGACATTATCTCCGGTGTAGCAGGATGACATTATCTCGGGTGTAGCAACATGACATTATCTCCGGTGTAGCAGCATGACATAATCTCATTGTAGCAACATGACATTATCTCATGTATAGCGCCATGTTGCTACACATGAGGTAATGTCATGTTGCTACACATGAGGTAATGCCATGTTGCTACACATGAGGTAATGTCATGTTGCTATACATGAGGTAATGTCATGTTGCTACACATGAGGTAATGTCATGTTGCTATACATGAGGTAATGTCATGTTGCTACACATGAGGTAATGCCATGTTGCTACACATGAGGTAATGTCATGTTGCTACACATGAGGTAATGTCATGTTGCTACTGCTTATGTACACCATGTCACAACAATGAAGTAGAAGCCAGGAGAAACGTTGTATTGCAACTGCTCAACATTGCCATGTGCGCTATCACGAACTTTCCGTGGTATCGACCTCCTCCTAATTCTAGAGAAACTTGCCTTTATCGAATCTGCTGTCATAGTACTTCGTTTAGGAATAAGAAAGAACATGTGTAGTATTAATGTCGGGTTATCAGACCAAGCATCGAAACATGTCAAAATGTGAAAACATAACATTGTTTATTGACCGTAAAGCAGGAAGTTGCAATCTATTTACATACTGTAGGCAGCCTGGTTTAGTCTCCGGATTAACTAATGCGACAATGTGATATCCTCCAAAGGTTGCTTTGACATGTCGCGCTTATATTAACTACTGCTAAGTTGCAAAACATTTACAAAGCGCGACAACGCACCATTTACACAGCTTGATATGAATCACAGTTACTTTTTCAAAAACATCGCAAAAACATTATGGTTGAAATAATGACCTACACTGGAGTCATCCACTTATTTCACATACAACATACAACAGGTCCCTCGTTTGACATGTATCTGTAGGATGTGTTGGCCGTTATTTCTATTAGCTTTAAAAACGCACATTTCGAGGTTTGTGAATAGAAACAAAGGAAAATGTTTCCTCCTCGGTACGATACAAGGACACGCGAGGTTCTGCCGAGCTGGCATCCTTGTATCGGACCGAGGAATGTGGAAAACATTGCATATGTTCATTTACAGTTTTACAAAAATCATCTAGACATTTCTTGAATATGTCAGATCACGTCGAAATGCACAGTAGGAGAAAGTAGGCGCGACGCCATATAAGCGGTATTGCCGACTTTCTCGTATGATATAACATACAAGTATCGATTATTGCTCGTCTTTTGTCTGTTGCATTGCCAGCATACGGATGCGTTTGCGCTATGCAGTAATGAATTTCAATGGAAACTTAGGATACGAACATTGGAAACTGTATTGTATTAAAATGATAAATGCATATGCTGTTCATAACGGTAGCTAATAAATGTCATCTATACTGTTGTGAACGCAACTGATGGAATAACTCACTTTTTGCTAAACATTTCGTGACTTCCTGAAACATGCAAATACGTGTCACCTTTCAGAAATATAATTATGTATCATAATTACTACAGGAGCTCTTCGTCATTGTTGTGATTCTTTTTGCGCTGTGTTCGTTAATTGGAAAGCACATAGCTGCTCACAACCGCCAATTGTCAAGGTACTCTGACATAGATGAAGGCATTGATGAAGCAGTACAGGAAGATGCAGCGAGAGCAGGAGATCAGGAAGCAGCTGAAGCAACTCCAGAAGAAGGAGGAAATAGTTCATAAAAGGAAGTGTTGATTAGCTATTTTGAAATCGAACATAATATGGCTACGATTCGGAAAAAACCGCACCCAGTGCATTAACAAAATGGCCATGGAGCTGCACAATGAACGGTATTAAAGTGCAAGGTTTTTGACTGCCTTGCATCTGCGTCAATCGAACAGTGACAGTTCAACAACATGCCAAGATGAACAGAAGTGAAAAGAAACAACGTCATAGGCCGCTTGCAGGCAGGGGAGTCCCGATCAGCTGTAACCAGGGCTTTCAATGTAGCGCCAAGCACAATCACAAGGCTATGGGATCGGTTTCAACAGCATGGGTCAACATGCGATCGGCCAAGGTCGGGACGACCAAGAGTAACCACCCCCGCCCAAGATCGCTACATCCGACTGTGCCACCTACACGAAAGGACGACCACAGCCACCTCAACCTCATCCCAAATACCCGGCCTGCGCAGGATCTCCGACCAGACCGTATGAAACCGTTTAAGAGCAGCAGGTCTACGAGCAAGACGTCCTGTTCGACGCGTCATATTGAGTCGACAACATCGTCAACAACGACTGCATTGGTGCCGTCAACATAGGGTTTGGCCTCAACTGCGATGGAGGGATGATTCAGCGACGAATCAAGATTTCCCCTCCGTCGAGGGGATGGAAGAGCGCGGGTCTACAGACGTCGGGGAGAACGTTACGCCGGAAACTGCGTTCAGGAAGTGGACAGGTTTGGTGGGGGTAGTGTTATGATCTGGGTGGCTATCTCTCACCATGGCAGGACATGTTTGGTCCATATCCAGAGCAATCTTACGGCTCAACGATACATCAACGAAATTCGCCTACCACACGTCCTCCCAATTGCAGCCAACGGCAACGGTGTATTCCAGCAGGACAACGCTCGATCGCATACAGCACGGATTACAAGAGCCTGTCTACACAACAAAAACGTTGATGTTTTCCCCTAGCCCTCCAGATCCCCGGATTTGAACCCGATAGAGCACCTCTGGGATGAATTGGATAGATGGCTACGCCGACGTCAACCACGACCCCAGACGTTGCAGCAGTTGGCTTTTACGTTGCAGGCCGAGTGAGCTACCATTCACAAGGATGTGATTCGCATATTCGTCTCTTCCATGGGCAGGATATGTCAGGTATCGATTCTAACGGGGGACATATTGATGGTAGATGACCTTCACATATGTACCGATAACTGAGATGACTACAATCACCAAGTGTTCTCTCCACAAAAGTTTGGCTCAATACCTTGTACGGTTCCTCTTATAAATGTATTTTCCTACCTCAGCCAAATCTGGCTTTGCGTTTCCTTTTTTGAAGAGTATATGTTCAGACATGTTTCCTTGGGCAGTGCTTATGGTTCGTTGGGAACAAAATACGCATTCTGAGTTTGATGATAAAAATGTTCGACTTTATCACGATGATGTTTTATTCCACTCATTTGATGATTCTGTGCTGACTAACATATTACATAACAGAGAAACCAACTTTATAAATACGACTTTACCGCGAAGTGTTTAAATCTAGTCATTGTGATAGTGACGGGCTGGAGCAGAACATTGACAGAAAACCAAAAGTAGACGTTTCCGAAAACTAATTTGTTTGTTTGTTGTTTAAGGCCGCACCCAACAATATTCCAGCTGTATGAGGACGGTCTGGCAATAATCGAGTCTGGACTACACAATCCAGTGTAGATAATCCTACGTAATTGGGATGTGATGACATGCATCAACCAAGTCAGAAAGTATGACCGCCCGACCTCCATTTCCTCGCCTTTTATGACAATCATAGGCTGCTCGGGATCTATATTCTTACCCGGAATTCCCATGTGTATCCCAAAAACTGCGTTGACAAATTTATGGAGACTTCGGATTCGGTATTATACACCAACACTTACTCAAACGACACGCGTGTATGATACACCAACACTTACTCAAACGACACATGTGTATCATTATATACACCAACACTTACTCAAACGACACACGTGTATTATACACCAACACTTACTCAAAAGACACACGTGTATTATACACCAAGACTTACTCAAACGACACATGTGTATTATACAACAACACTTACTCAAACGACACACGTGTATTATACACCAACACTTACTCAAACGTCACACGTGTATTATACACCAACACTTACTCAAACGACGCACGTGTATTATACACCAAGTCTTACTCAAACGACACAGGTGTATTATACACCAACACTTACTCAAACGACGCACGTGTATTATACACCAAGACTTACTCAAACGACACACGTGTATTATACACCAACACTTACTCAAACGACACACGTGTATTATACACCAAGTCTTACTCAAACAACACACGTGTATTATACACCAAGACTTACTCAAACGACACACGTGTATTATACACCAAGACTTACTCAAACGACGCACGTGTATCATACACCAAGACTTACTTAAACGACACACGTGTATTATACACCACGACTTACTCAAACGACGCACGTGTATCATTATATACAACGACACTTTCTCAAACGACACACGTGTATGACACACCATGACTTACTCAAACGACACACGTGTATTATACATCAACACTTACTCAAACGACACACGTGTATGACACACCATGACTTACTCAAACGACACACGTGTATGATACACCAAGACTTACTCAAACGACACACGTGTATTATACATCAACACTTACTCAAACGACACATGTGTATTATACATCAACACTTACTCAAACGACACACGTGTATTATACACCAAGACTTACTCAAACGACACACGTGTATGATACACCAAGACTTACTCAAACGACACAGGTGTATTATACATCAACACTTACTCAAACGACACACGTGTATTATACATCAACACTTACTCAAACGACACACGTGTATTATACATCAACACTTACTCAAACGACACACGTGTATGATACACCAAGACTTACTCAAACGACACACGTGTATTATACATCAACACTTACTCAAACGACACACGTGTATGATACACCAAGATTTACTCAAACGACACACGTGTATGATTATATACAACAACACTTACTCAAACGACACATCTACTTGGTTTCTTACATCAGTTATGTAAAGTTCACTGCAGCTAAAGTTTTCGGTTGGATCAGATATCAAGTTAGAATAATTATTTTTTTCTTTTTGTGTCAAACTAACCAAACACGTGTGATTGTTTTGTGTGTGCATCCTTAAAAGTGAGAACAACACCTTTGCCAATTTGACCTTTATTTGTTGAATCATAATCTTATTTCCCCTCTCTGAGTTTCACATCAGGTTTTTCTTCTCTTGAATCTTCCCCAGCTGCTACATCTTCCCTATGTCCATGCTACATCTGAATTAGCAGAATTGGTCCCAGTACCCCTTGTTTGTCCCTCCATGGGAAGTCTGAGGCAGAGTAGGTCCCCTGTAGTCCTCAGTGCTGTAACAGGTGACCAGTGGGGATCGCGTGGTCAATGTGTAGTGTGGCTGATAGCGAGTCCCGATTACATGTTGGTCAGACCTGCCCTGACATATTTCCGTGCCCCTGTGATATGGATGGAACATTGCTAATCATGGCCAAAATATAAAATTCACTCGCTCACTCACTCGCCACTCAGCTCAGTTCAAAACATGTTGTCTGTAACACGGCATGTGGACAGTGGTTACTTTGCATATATTTCTCCAGGGCCAGCTGTTTAATGCACTGGGTCTTGTGATCGGCAGGTCAGGGTACGTTAACAAGTCACAGAACAGATTCAAGTGATCTTTTTGTGGTTGCTGATGAGTTTGTCAGTTCAGTTCTAACTCTGCAAGGGCACACGAGAGACACAAGGTGCTGTCGGAACACCTTTGATGTGAATCCATAGACGAAAGGGTTGACTATACAGTTGATGAAGGGCAACATGAGTATAATCGAAACTGGTTATTCTCTGACGTTGACGTTTTATATCCAAGAAAGGTGGCCCATATAATAGTTATAGGAATCTAAAGGGGGTAAACCGATAGCCTCGCTGAAGGTAACTTAGCCATATTATGTACCAGCGAATCAAGACCTCCTTCTTTTCAAAACATTTCCTCTTTCTGGAGCTGCTTCAGCTGCTGCTTGATCTCCTGTTGTCGCTGATGCGTCACGTACTGATTCACTTATGCCTCCAGCAACTAGCCTCGCACCTCCAACATCCCACTCTGGACGGTCGAGTTCTGACGTGGCTTTACATTTGTCTCAACTTGGTTAAAACTTTGCTTTTCACAAAGTCTCATCGGTACTCTACAACACGGATTCTTGTGTTCGCTCGGTTTGCGATGGTGGTGGTGTCGACTCTTTCCTACCATTGCAAGCACAAAAGAGAGACACAAGGTGCTGTCGGAACACCTTTGATGTGAATCCATAGACGAAAGGGTTGACTATACAGTTGATGAAGGGCAACATGAGTATCACATCCCTCACATGGTGAACTGATTGCGAGTAATGAGAATGGTTGATACTTTGTTGTACAAATATAGCAAGCCCCATCCTCGGTGCAACACTCAGGAGGAATATCATGGTCAGCGTGAAGAACATGGCTGTGGGGTTGGAAAGCTTCGTGTGACCTTGACCTGACACAGAGTACCTTGACATTTGACGTTTGTGAGCTGCTATGTGCTTTCCAATTAACGAATACAGCACTGTGAGAGACACAACAATGGCAGTGAGCTCGAGTAGTAACCATGATACGTATATTGTAGCAAGGTGATATGTTTTTGCATATTCAGTGAAGTCAATATAGGTTATGTTTATCAAAGAGTAACTAGTAGTTATTCCATTTGTTGCGTTCACAACAGTATAGTTGACGTCTATTAGCAACGCATGTGGCGTGCATGAAAGAACAGAAATGAGGACACAACCCAAAAGTATCTTCTTTGCCAAAGAGGCATTAATCTGTGACTGCTGATCTTTACACATCTTTTTGTATCTTTGAACGGCAATGGTCACGTAAAACAGGCCCGTGTTGAAAACAAAGAAATGTTGCCCAACAGAAAACCATTTGGAGAAAAATGCTTCTTCGACATTCATTTTGAATAACACAAGTGCGGGTAACAGACATAACGTGCTCACAAGGTTGAGAAAAGCTTGGGTCTTAGTAAAGAAGCTGATGATATGGATGTTGATCTTCTTGGTGTAGATGAAGAGGATGAGACAGTTCCCTGGGATCCCTACAACCACTAGCAGCACACAGAAGAAGACGATGGAGGGATGAACCCGGATGAAGCTGGTCGTCTCTGGACAATTGTCCTGCATTGCTGAAAGCCAATACAATAAGTTGTTAGACGTCATCTTACATATACCACTTCCGTTGTTACCAGGGTGATGGTAACATGTAAAGGTGTATTATACCCTTGTAGTGTTGACGTGGACCTTCTAAATGATGCCAGAATAGCAAGTGTAAGTATGTCATAAACTCTGACCAGCCAACAGTTGGCGAACAATCCCCGTCTTAACACTGCATAGATATGTACAATCTTCAAATTCAACAAGTGTCAACACGACCGTACTTTAAAAAGGTAGTGAGGTGAAATGGAGCTTGACCTATTCAAGAATATTTTACTTATATGGCGACGTTTATGTGCGCTTGTAAAAATCAGTGCTTGTTTTACAGTGCTAGGGCACTGAGGTACCATGGCACATGGATACACCACTTACACACAGTGTACTGACTTCGAGCAGACCAGTTTTATCCACTTAATATCGAGGGCCAGGCAGGGTAACAACAAGTACTGTCTTTTAAAATCAGTACATTAAAAACGACCTTGACAATACGTTCTGCAAAGAACCACAAAAACATGACCACTACAAACATGCGTCCTTGTTTCTAGGATTGAGCTGGACAATGTTAACGTTGGAATTATCCGACTCGTTCGGTAATGTGTGAATAAAGTGAGTTTAAAGTGATAAAGATGTGATCAGTACATTACCGTTAGGATAGGGTTGATGGCCTCCAAATATCCAGATGACAACTGCGCTCAAGGAGTTTTGCATGAATGAACGCAATACACGGTCACCCTTCCTTGTTTAAATGTATTGGTTTCATGCGAAACTACAGCAGGGTATCTGAAGAGGATAGTGATTGGGCGGAAGGGTTGGCTGTTGAGTGAGTGAGTGAGTGAGTTGGGTTTAACGCCGCTTTTAACAGTATTCCAGTTATATCACGGTGTGTCAGCTCAATGTTGGAGGAAAGCCCGAAGTGATGCAGGTTTCAGACGTTTACCACTTCGGTGAAACCCACGAGCACGAGCAAGCGCCTTAGACGACTGGGCCACCCGTGCCCCCTGGCTGGTGAGAGAGAGAGTGGTTAGGTAACTGGGTAGGTGGGTGGCTGGCTGCCCACATCTATTACCACAGGAGCTGAATCATAATCAGTTTGAATCCAGGATTCAAACCCGCGGTGAGTGAGTGAGTATAGTTTTTACTGGAAATGGGCTTCACACATTGTACTGTTGAAATAAAATGTAGAATAAAATCCATCCCAAAAACATTACAAAAATGTAACAAATTGAACCTTTAATATGACGATTACCGTTGCGATAGCTTCAATGATGTGATTGCATTATACACAGTTCATTAAAGTCAGCTGTGTGGGACCACTTGGATTTCCCGCATCATATCAGGATGGAGTGCGAACTGTCCATAAGGAAGAAACGGCCTGTCGCCATTGATATACCCGTGTGAAATACACGAGTAGTACCACAAATATGTCCACTCATCTACGTCGCCATCACTCAGACATAGATTTTGGCGGTACCAAAGTTCCGTCTTCTACTCAAGATACGCAGCAACGCGTTGTTGATTTCAGCAGACCTTGCCAGGCAGTCAACCAAGTCAACCTAGTCAATGATGTAATTAATTCCAAATTACCTGCTACAACGTCTCGTGCTAGGTCGATCATAAATAGCACTGGTGTTTTCATTGCTTTGGATATGCGACCATATTCCGTTGTGGAGAATGTTGGATTTAGGCACCTTGTCAACAAACTCGAGCCAAGGTATCAGATTCCCACCCGTACACATTTTACAAATACTGTTATGCCTAAACCGTACGAGAACACGAAACGTGATGTCTTGAAAGAAATTGAAAGTACTTCGTCTGTTGCTATTACAACTGATAGGTGGTCCTCACGTGCCTCCACCGAGAGCTAATTCACAAGAACAGCACTTTTTGTCAGTGAAGAATGGCAAATGGAAAACCCTGTGTTGCAAACACGGCCCCTTCACGAGCACCATACTGCAACAAATCTAGCTTATGTTCTGACATCTGCTTTATCAGAATGGAAGATTGACAGGTATGAAAATATTGCTATATCTACTGACAATGCAAGCAGCATTGTTAGTGCTGTCCAGCAGTCACCAAGTCTCAACACTCACATTAGATGTTTGGCACACACTGTAAACTTGGCAAGTCAAAGGGCAATGCAAGTCAGTCAGATGATCAGGATTTGGGGGAGAGTTAGACGAGTCGTGTCATTCTTTCCAAGAAGCTCGCATGCTGCATCTGTCCTTAGAAGCAAATAGTTACTTCTTGAACTTCCCTGTCAGACACTCATACAAGATGTTTGCACAAGATGAATTCGAGATATAACATGCTGGAACGTTGTCTTGAGCAGCAAGCCACAATATTTGCTTCACTAACAGCCAAGGACGTCAGATAATATGCAGACTCACTTGTCACACTGTCGGATAAGGATGTCAGTTGTGTGGAGTGAGTGAGCATGTTTTTTTTACGCCGCTTTTCGCAATATTCCAGCGATATCACAACAGGGGACACCAGAAATGGGCTTCACACATTGTACCCATGTGGGGAATCGACGGGTCTTCGGCCTGACGAGCGAACGCTTTAACCACTAGGCTACCCCACCGCCACAGCTGTGTGGGGGATGCTACACGTGTCCTGAAGCCGTTGAAAACCATCACAACTATCCTGTGCAGTGAGAAGACACCCACCGTGTTACTGATTCTTCCACTCAAGGAACTGATTTTGAAAGCTATGGATGTTGTGGAATCTGATTCAGATCTTCATCAGAAGTGTGAAAACTGCTATTTCCAAAGACCTAAGGGACAGATACACTGTTCCAGATCTCAACCAGTTTCTGCAGGAGGCAACAGCCCTAGCTCCCAGGTTCAGGTCCCTGCCTTACCATGATGAAACTGGGCTTCAGGTTTTTACTAGACTGACAGTGGCATGTGCGTCAAACGTAAATTTATTCCTTTTTATCTAATGTTTTGTCTCAATTTTTAAATATTAGTTCATTAAACTAAATGTTTGAGAACTTATTATTAGCCTAAAAAATGAAAGAAGCAAACATTTTCAAATTACAAATTCCTTGAAAACACTTCTTTAACTGAAAACAATGATATAGTCAATGATTGTTTTATTCAGAGACAAAAATTAAAAGTATAGAAGATCTTTTTAATATAAATTCTGAAAACATGTTGCAGTCTGAAGTCAGAGTGAAAGAGGAACCTGCTTAACCGCTTCATGTTGAGCCTGAAAGCCATCCACTACCATCTGTATCATGTGTCTGGAGATATATAACATGTGTGAACGACATTCGAACCCACAATCATAGCGTTCTGGCACATCTAAGGGGCGCAATTCTGCACAGCGCCTTATACCCCACAAGGGACCGATTTAAATAAAAAATGTAGGATATAACAAATAGGTGACCATACCTTCAAGCTCCAGTTAATAAACATTTCAGATCCTGTGGTGTTTCGACTCGATTTATAGCTTATGTTCGACGACAAATATATGTAAAATTCTGTTACCACGTGTATGTGCCTGATGCAAACAATTAATTATTAACAAGGTCGGGAAATCAATGTCAGCACGCAGAGCAAACCGCTGTCTATTCATGTTTTCCTTCCGGCTAGAGCAAACGTAGGTCCAGCAAATATTACATTGAATGCATTCGTGGTCTATGATGTTTTGATGTTGGTCGCATCTCCCTTTGTTTGACTTACATGTTTGACAACACATTATGGACATAACTGAGTGTCTGGAACCATTGAGTGACTGTGTGAATGTCTTTACCCTTTGCCAACACCAGGTGTCGTCAGTGATTTTCAGTGATCCATTCATAGAATTTTCATTGCTATTTGCCTTTAACGCCCAATGGAATAATCGAAACTGGTTATTCTCTGACGTTGACGTTTTATATCCAAGAAAGGTGGCCCATATAATAGTTATAGGAATCTAAAGGGGGTAAACCGATAGCCTCGCTGAAGGTAACTTAGCCATATTATGTTCCAGCGAATCAAGACCTCCTTCTTTTCGAAACATTTCCTCTTTCTGGAGCTGCTTCAGCTGCTGCTTGATCTCCTGTTGTCGCTGATGCGTCACGCACTGATTCACTTATGCCTCCAGCAACTAGCCTCGCACCTCCAACATCCCACTCTGGACGGGCGAGTTCTGACGCGGCTTTACATTTGTCCTTAACTTGGTTTGCTTTTCACAAAGTCTCATCGGTACTCTACAACACGGATTCTTGTGTTCGCTCGGTTGGCGATGGTGGTGGTGTCGACTCTTTCCTACCATTGCAAGCACAAAAGAGAGACACAAGGTGCTGTCGGAACACCTTTGATGTGAAACCATAGACGAAAGGGTTGACTATACAACTGCTGAAGGGCAACATGAGTATCACGTCCCTCACATGGTGAACTGATTGCGAGTAATGAGAATGGTTGGTGGTTTGTAGTGTATATATAGCAAGCGCCAACCTCGGAGCAACACTCAGGAGGAATATCATGGTCAGCGTGAAGAACATGGCGGTGGGGTTGGAAAGCTTCGTGTGACCTTGACTTGACACAGAGTACCTTGACATTTGACGTTTGTGAGCTGCTATGTGCTTTCCAATTAACGAATACAGCACTGTGAGAGACACAACAATGGCAGTGAGCTCGAGTAGTAACCATTATGCGTATATTGTGGCAAGGTAATATGTTTTTGCATATTCAGTGAAGTCATTATACGTAATGTTTATCAAACAGTCAGTTATTCCAACTGTTGCGTTCGCAACAGTATAGTTGACCTTTATTAGCAACGCATGTGTCGTGCATGAAAGAACAGAAATGAGGACACAACCCAAAAGTATCTTCTTTGCCACAGAGGCATTAATCTGTGACTGCTGATCTTTAAAAATCTTTTTGTATCTTTGAATAGCAATGGTCACGTAAAACAGGCCCGTGTTGAAAACAAAGAAACTTTGCCCAACAGAAAACCATTTGGAGAAAAATGCTTCTTCGATATTCATTTTGAATAACACAAGAGCGGGTAACAGACATAACGTGCTCACAAGGTTGAGAATAGCAAGGATCTTGATGAAGAAGCTGATGATATGGATGTTGATCTTCTTGGTGTAGATGAAGAGGATGAGACAGTTCCCTGGGATCCCTACAACCACTAGCAGCACACAGAAGAAGACGATGGAGGGATGAACCCGGATGAAGCTGGTCGTCTCTGGACAATTGTCCTGCATTGCTGAAAGCCAATACAATAAATAGTTAGACGTCACCTTACTTATACCACTTCCGTTGTTACCAGGGTGATGGTAAAATGTTACAGTTTATTATACCCTTGTAGTGTTGACGTGGACCTTCTAAATAATGCCAGAATAGCAAGTGTAAGTATGACATAAACTCTGACCAGTCAACAGTGGGCGAACAATCCCCGTCTTAACACTGCATAGATATGTACAATCTTCAAATTCAACAAGTATCAACACGATTGTACTTTAAAAAGGAAGTGAGGTTAAATGGAGCTTGACCTATTCAACATTATTTTACTTATATAGCGGCGTTTATGTGCGCTTCTAAAAATCAGTTCCTTTTTTACAGTGCTAGGGTACTGAGGTACCATGACGTATGGATACACCACTTACACACAGTGTACTGACTCCGAGCAGACCAGTTTTATCCACTTAATACCGAGCGCCAGAGAGTGTAACAACAAGTACTGTCTTTTAAAATCAGTACATTTAAAACGACATTGACAATACGTTCTGCAAAGGACCACAATAACATGACCACTACAAACATGCGTCCTTGTTTCTAGGATTGAGCTGGACAATGTTAACGTTGGAATTATCCGACTCATTCGGTAATGTGTTAATTAAAGTTTGTTTATAGTGATTGTGATGTGATCAGTACATTACCGTTAGGATAGGGTTGATGGCCTCCAAATATCCAGATGACAACTGCGCGCAAGGAGTTTCGCATGAATGAACACAATACACGGTCACAGTTCCTTGTTTAAATGTATTGGTTTCATGCGAAACTACAGCAGGGTATCTGAAGCGGATAGTCAGTGGTCGGAAGTGTTGGCTGATGAGAGAGAGAGTGGTTAGGTAACTGGGTAGGTGGGTGGCTGGCTGCCCACATCTATTACCACAGGAGCTGAATCATATTCAGGTTGAATCCAGGATTCAAACCCGCGGTGAGAGAGTGAGTATTTTTTTTACGAAAAATTGGCTTCACACATTGTACTGTTGAAATAAAATGTAGAAGAAAATCCATCCCAAAAACATTACAAAAATGTAACAAATTGAACCTTTAATATGACGATTACCCTCACGATAGCTTCAGTGATGTGAATGCATTAAACACAGTTCATTAAAGTCAGCTGTGTGGGACGATTTGGATTTCCCGCATCATATCAGGATGGAGTGCGAACTGTCAATAAGGAAGAAACGGCCTGTCGCCATTGATATACCCGTGTGAAATACACGAGTAGTACCACAAATATGTCCACTCATCTACGTCGCCATCACTCAGACATAGATTTTGGCGGTACCAAAGTTCCGTCTTCTACTCAAGATACGCAGCAACGCGTTGTTGATTTCAGCAGACCTTGCCAGGCAGTCAACCAAGTCAACCTAGTCAATGATGTAATTAATTCCAAATTACCTGCTACAACGTCTCGTGCTAGGTCGATCATAAATAGCACTGGTGTTTTCATTGCTTTGGATATGCGACCATATTCCGTTGTGGAGAATGTTGGATTTAGGCACCTTGTCAACAAACTCGAGCCAAGGTATCAGATTCCCACCCGTACACATTTTACAAATACTGTTATGCCTAAACCGTACGAGAACACGAAACGTGATGTCTTGAAAGAAATTGAAAGTACTTCGTCTGTTGCTATTACAACTGATAGGTGGTCCTCACGTGCCTCCACCGAGAGCTACTTTACAAGAACTGCACTTTTTGTCAGTGAAGAATGGCAAATGGTAAACCCTGTGTTGCAAACACGGCCCCTTCACGAGCACCATACTGCAACAAATCTAGCTAATGTTCTGACATCTGCTTCATCAGAATGGAATATTGACAGGTATGAAAATATTGTTATATCTACTGACAATGCAAGCAGCATTGTTAGTGCTGTCCAGCAGTCACCAAGTCTCAACACTCACATTAGATGTTTGGCACACACTGTAAACTTGGCAAGTCAAAGGGCAATGCAAGTCAGTCAGATGATCAGGATTTGGGGGAGAGTTAGACGAGTCGTGTCATTCTTTCCAAGAAGCTCGCATGCTGCATCTGTCCTTAGAAGCAAATAGTTACTTCTTGAACTCCCCTGTCAGACACTCATACAAGATGTTTGCACAAGATGAATTCGAGCTATGACATGCTGGAACGTTGTCTTGAGCAGGAAGCCACAATTTTTGCTTCACTAACAGTCAAGGACGTCAGATAAAATGTAGATTCACTTGTCACACTGTCGGATGAGGTTGTCAGCTGTGTTGAGTGAGTGAGTATGTTTTTTTTACGCCGCTTTTCGCAATATTCCAGCGATATCACGACAGGGGACACAAGAAATGGGCTTCACACATAGTACCCATGTGGGGAATCAACGGGTCTTCGGCGTGACGAGCGAACGCTTTAACCACTAGGCTACCCCACCGCCACAGCTGTGTGGGGGATGCTACACGTGTCCTGAAGCCGTTGAAAACCATCACAACTATCCTGTGCAGTGAGAAGACACCCACCGTGTTACTGATTCTTCCACTCAAGGAACTGATTTTGAAAGCTATGGATGTTGTGGAATCTGATTCAGATTTTCATCAGAAGTGTGAAAACTGCTATTTCCAAAGACCTAAGGGACAGATACACTGTTCTAGATCTCAACCAGTTTCAGCAGGAGGCAACAGCCCTAGCTCCCAGGTTCAGGTACCTGCCTTACCATGATGAAACTGGGCTTCAGGTTTTTACTAGACTGACAGTGGCATGTGCGTCAAACGTAAATTTATTCCTTTTTATCTAATGTTTTGTCTCAATTTATGAATATTAGTTCTTTAAACTAAATGTTTGAGAACTTATTATTAGCCTAAAAAATGAAAGAAGCATACATTTTTAAATTACAAATTCCTTGAAAACACTTCTTTAACTGAAAAACAACAATGATATAGTCTATGATTATTTTATTCAGAGACAAAAAATTAAAAGTACAGAAGATCTTTTTAATATAAATTCTGAAAACTTGTTGCAGACTGAAGTCGGAATGGAAGAGGAACCTGCTTAACCGCTTCATGCTGAGCCTGAAAGCCAACCACTACCATCAGTATCATATGTGTCTGGAGATATATAACATGTGTGAACGACATTCGAACCCACAATCATAGCGTTCTGGCACATCTAAGGTGCGCAACTCTGCACAGCGCTTATACCCCACAAGGGACCGATTTAAATAGGAAATGTAGGAAATAACAAATAGGTGACCGTACTTTCGAGCTCCAGTTAATAAACATTTCAGATCCTGTGGTGTTTCGACTCGATTTATAGCTTATGTTCGACAACAAATATATGTAAAATTCTGTTACCACGTGTATGTGCCTGATGCAAACAATTAATTATTAACAAGGTCGGGAAATCAAACCGCTGTCTATTCACGTTTTACTTCCGGCTAGAGCAAACGTAGGTCAAGCAAACATTACATTTTATGTCTTCCTGTTCTATGATGTTTTGATGTTGATCGCATCTCCCTTTGTTTGACTTACATGTTTGACAACACATTATGGACACACATGAGTGTCTGGAACCATTGAGTGACTGTGTGAATGTCTTTACCCTTTGCCAACACCAGGTGTCGTCAGTGATTTTCAGTGATCCATTCATAGAATTTTCATTGCTATTTGCCTTTTACACCCAATGGAATAATCGAAACTGGTTATTCTCTGACGTTGACGTTTTATATCCAAGAAAGGTAGTCCATATAATAAGTATAGGAATCTAAAGGGGGTAAACAGATAGCCTCGCTGAAGGTAACTTAGCCATATTATGTTCCAGCGAATCAAGACCTCCTTCTTTTCGAAACATTTCCTCTTTCTGGAGCTGCTTCAGCTGCTGCTTGATCTCCTGTTGTCGCTGATGCGTTACGTACTGATTCACTTATGCCTCCAGCAACTAGCCTCGCACCTCCAACATCCCACTCTGGACGGGCGAGTTCTGACGCGGCTTTACATTTGTCCTCAACTTGGTTTGCTTTTCACAAAGTCTCATCGGTACTCTACAACACGGATTCTTGTGTTCGCTCGGTTTGCGATGGTGGTGGTGTCGACTCTTTCCTACCATTGCAAGCACAAAAGAGAGACACAAGGTGCTGTCGGAACACCTTTGATGTGAATCCATAGACGAAAGGGTTGACTATACAGTTGATGAAGGGCAACATGAATATCACATCCCTCACATGGTGAATTAATTGCGAGTAATGAGAATTGTTGATGGTTTGTAGTGTATATATAGCAAGCGCCAACCTCGGAGCAACACTCAGGAGGAATATCATGGTCAGCGTGAAGAACATGGCGGTGGGGTTGGAAAGCTTCGTGTGACCTTGACCTGACACAGAGTACCTTGACATTTGACGTTTGTGAGCTGCTATGTGCTTTCCAATTAACGAATACAGCACAACGAGAGTAACAACGACAGCACTCATCCCAAGTAACATCCACGTTATGTATATATGAGTGAACAGATAGATTTGCGCAAAGCCACAGTAAGGAATGCGTGTCACACAAGGGAAAGTTACATTTGCCCGCGTTACTCCAAGCAGAAACGCATGCGGAGAACATGACACAGCAGAAAACAGGACACACCCGAGCATTATCTTCTTGGCCGTAGATGCATTAACCTGTGATTGATGAACTCTACACATTTTCCTGTATCTTTGAACAGCAATGGTCACGTAAAACAGGCCCGTGTTGGTAACAAAGAAATTTTGCCCAACAGAAAACCATTGGCAGAAAAATGCTGTCTCGGGATTAATTTTTAATAACACATGTGCCGGCAACAGACATAACGTGCTAACGAGATTGAGAATAGCAAGGATCTTGATGAAGAAGCTGATGATATGGATGTTGATCTTCTTGGTGTAGATGTAGAAGATGAGGCAGTTCCCTGGGATCCCTACAACCACCACCAGCACACAGAAGAAGACGAGGGAAGGATGAACCCGGATGAATTTGACAAGTGCCGTTTCCGTACAATTTAAATTCGACATTTCTGAAATGAAAGGCAAAGTGAATAATTTGGCTTGGAAGGTTCCATAATGTGGATGAGGTAGAGATTACGTGTGACTTTATAGAGCTCTCTCTCTCTCTCTCTCTCTCTCTCTCTCTCTCTCTCTCTCTCTCTCTCTCTCATCAAACAAACTATAATAATACAAGTACAGATGCTCACAATACATTGATAATTAACCACTTAAAATCTCAAACCATAGTTAATAACTTCAGAATGAAACGGATTTCAATTATATCTGATTCGAAAGGGGTTTCTATTTTGTCAAGTCTGTTTTCTAAAACAGATGTGTGTATTTGGCTCACTTCACCAAACGTTTGATCTTCCAAATCTTAATTCCACAATCATCCTTATTCATTAAGTTTAAATATTCTATGTGGCAAAGGGCAAACTATCCGTTATCGATGTGTGGGCCTGTATATAGCAAGCAAGTCAAACACACAACTAGCAGCAACTGTCTCAACAACAGGGTAAACACCTCCAAGGTGCCACTAACCTATCACATTTCACAAACGTAATTTAAAACAGAACACGACACATAATTACCTAATTTTGTTCAAAGTAGAAAACACGTCAGCACAGCTTACAGTACCGTCACAACTCGGGTGTAGGTGTCTAACAGCGCAGTGAACACACAATCAACGTCCTCTGGTTTAGTACTCCCTAAGAAAATGTGTTTATGCGGTAATAATTTCCTTTCACTCCGCCTTCCGTGTGAAATGCGAAACTATAGTTTAGTGAATGTTCTAAAGTCCTGCAAAGGTGATGTGTGTATTTGGGATTTCCCAGTCTTCCTGACTTGAGGTGTCTCAGCCTCTCTGGCTTCAAATGTCTGTCTTCATTGTCAGAAATGTCCGAAACAGGAGATGGGTTGGAAAGGCGTGTACAGCGTGTTGAAAATCATTACACTTAAATAGGGATGAGCCTCCCTCTCCCTCTTGGTTAAATCGGGGGCACGGGTGGCCCAGTCGTCTAAGGCGCCGCAATTCGCTGTGCAGAGTTGCGTCCCTGGACACGCCAGAAACCTATGGTTGTGGGTTCGAATCCCGGTTCGTCCCGATTAAGTTTCTAGGTTTGTCAGCACCATACCCGTGCTCGTGGGTTTCACCGAAGTGGTAAACGTCTGAGTCCTGCATCACTGAAACTGGAACTGGAATACTGTTAAAAGCGGCGTTAAACACAACTCACTCACTCTTGGTTAAACCCACTGCAATACGATGCCACAGTTACCCACTCTCAGACACTGTCTACTGACCAGTCCTTGTGTCATCTCCTTAAAGCCTAAGGGCTGGGTACCAGCAAGTACCACGCACAAACGTATGTTGGTGAGTGGTTCTAACTACACGATGACACATACTGACATAGTGTTGTTACACTAGTAAGTGACTGAGTATGTTTTACGCTGCTTTCAGCAATATTACAGCAACATCACGGCGGGGGACACCAGAAATGGGCTTCACTCATTGTACCCATGTCCGGAATTGAATCCAGGTCTTCCGCGTGACAAGCGAATGCTTTAACCACTAGGCTACCCGACCGCCCCTCACACATTGTACCCACGTCGGGAATCGAACCAGGGCCTTCGGCGTGACGAGCGAACGCTTTAACCACTAGGCTACCCGACCGCCCCTCACACATTGTACCAACGTCGGGAATCGAACCAGGGTCTTTGGCGTGACAAGCGAACGCTTTAACCACTAGGCTACCTGACCACCTCTCACACATTGTACCAACGTCGGGAATCGAACCAGGGTCTTCGGCGTGACGAGGGAACGCTTTAACCACTAGGCTACCCGACCACCCCTCACATATTGTACCCACGTCGGGAACCGAACCAGGGTCTTTGGCGTGACAAGCGAATGCTTTAACCACTAGGCTACCCGACCACCCCTCACACATTGTACCCATGTTGGGAATCAAACCAGGGTCTTCGGCGTTTCGAGCGAACGCTTTAACCACTAGGCTACCCGACAGCCCTACGTATGTTGATTCCTGGGCAGATGCTCCATCGTCACCTGCTGAAGGTGCAAGGAGTGGCCTTGAGACGTTATTACAAATGATGAATATCGTCAAAGAGTCATGTTGTTCCAACATGTCCTTCAAAGAACAGGTTTATCACACTTTGAACAGTATTTCAATCATTAATGTGCAGGTGGAAAGTCATTAGTAATGCAGGTCGTATATTTTACAACAGGGATGAAACCCAGTGTGTCGAAAGTCCAAGAATCATAACCAAGGCAAATCCGGGATTCAACCCCACGATCATAGGAATGGCAAGGCACATATCAATGAACAGGTAACCTTTCAGGTAAAACCATACAACAGTAGTTACATCATCACACTAGACAGGTCACAATGTGACATACCTTGTTTGCTTTGAACAGAGAACATATTCTGATATGGTCTCTGTATTGAGCGAGTGCTTGGTTGTGAATTTGGGATTCATTATTTATGTATGACAAATTACCTTGTAATATATAACGAAAACAACATATGTGCTTTATATTTTTACTTTTTTTCAATATTGCTATTTTGGGCTGTATAAACAGACACATTTATCAGCTCTTTTGGTCATTATGATCTGACAACAGTAACATGAATCAGTTACTTTATTTTCATAATACATCACTCTTCAAAAATCAAACAGTCTAAAACATATCCATGAACATAATCTACATGAACATCACCATGTTCGTCAGTACAATCAGCACTAATATGCCAGCTGCAGTACCAAACATCCATGAAACAATGATCTTCTAACAATACTTGTATTCATTGATGTATTCCTCACACATTCTTCAATGTATTCTTTACATACTTGTATTACTTTGTGACTCTTTTATCACACACATAAAATCAGTAATTTTACAGTGATCTAATCAGATGTTACCATAGTAACCTTTGCCTAACATTTGAAAAAACGTGCTCATAACATCAGATGACAATGGGCTTTTTGTGCCTTCTCACAATGGTACAATTTCATTAAAATCAGATCTTAGTTCTCGCTATCGCTAAACAAAGATCTGAGGACATCCCATTATGGGTCACGTCAGAACAACCTTTCATCCAACCAATCAAAGCGTCGCTTACCAGATCATGAAAGTGACAGTCGGAATGTGTTTTCTGATCATGCAAACTCGAAAAAGGTTAACACGGGGTTTTCCGAACGACAGTTACGGCCCGTACGTCTGATTCTGTCAAAATTATCGTCTTTCTCTCGCTTCCGTGGGAGAAACATTTGAACGTAAGAGGCGCTGCACAGTCTGTCAATCTCAGCCATATATTAGACATTCCGGAATGTTTGTTTCTTCATTTTTCAAAATTTTAATCGACAAATGTGTCAACATATTTTTCAAGCGTAGTCTGAAATGAAAGTCGCCAGGTTGAAACGAGTGCCGTAAAGCTCGAGAAAGCTGCTTTCTAATTGGCTGATGTCCATATCTTGTTAGTCATTTCAGTAGCCGGTCAAAGTTCACAAAACGGTCAGTCAGTTGTGAGTAGACTAATATAAACTCAGCAGTTGCAAATGTCACTGGCCATTCCGGCTGTTACTTTCCAGCTATGAACCCATGTCACTCTGTGTACCCATCTGTCATCGATTCCTATTCCACATGTCATGCATAGTCTACATATTGGTATCATGAGTCAGAATTACTGACACTACTTCTGAAATGACACCAATTACCAATCATTTGATTTCAGTGTTCAAAACTAAGCACAAATCCAAGGAGTCCCTAACACCCTAATGTTGATGTCCAAAGATGCTTGGGGTTTCCAGATAAAGATACTACAGTGAGAAAAACAGGGGGCACCCAGGACCCACTTACTTTCAAACTGTGACCAGCCCTAGAAATTCTTTATTTCTCTGGTCTTCAGAGTTTGTAGCTAGTCCAGATTGATCAAGACCAAACGTTTACTATGTTTACATTTTCTGTCAGGTTTATTCAGTTCCAATTTGTAGGAAATTGAAGCATTGAGAACTGCTTCAGAATTATAGCCCTCAAATGCTACAAATCATTGAAGACTACCATCATAGGATGTTTTCTTTTCCTCAGCACAATTTAGTAGTTCCGGGCTAGCAGATGAGCATGGATTTCAAAGGCTGCCGACATGTCCGTTATGCAAACACCATCAACCCATTCTAGGCTGCACTTCAGTCTATATATGGTGGCGATATTTCCTCCGTTTGATTCTCTTCTCCCTCAGTGTTTCGTCATCATCCACAATGGGAGGCTTTATTTCTGGTGCACGTGACTTCGCCAGGATGATCTGATCTCGCAACTCAAAGTAACGCAGCAATTCCTCCTTCTCCTGAAGCTCCTTCAGCTGCTGCTTGATCTCCTCCTCCCGCTGCTGCTTCATGTACTGCTTCATCTGTGCCTCCACCAACTCACTCCGCTCCTTCTCCCACCTCTCCAACATCGCCCTCTGGGCAGTCATGTCGGCAGCTTCATGTGTTGGGAGTTCCGACACTGCTAGAGACTCTACCACAGGCAGCATACTGTCCTCCACAGTCTGGTTGTTCCTTCGCAGCTTGAGGGCAATCTCCTGAATAAATAGACCAAAAAGTATTACAACTCTCACACCAGTCACCCTGGAAAGATTTAAATATTTTCTTAAATTGTAAGGGTACCCTACTTACAAGGACCCCATGAGGATTCTGGGTCAGAAAGGTCCCCAGCAGCCCATGCTAGCTGTAACAGCCGACTAAAATGGGGATCAGATAGTTATAATGTGTGATCAGAGACACGTGGATAAACAACATCACAATGTTCCACTCTGATGTTGTTTGGGGATACAAACCTTATTTTATTTAGGATGCAACCATAGCATAATGCGGACAATCTGGGAAATTTACCTGAACTTGTTGGAATTACGTCAGCGTGCTTTGTTGTTTTAAAGTAAAGGTAATTTAAATTTCATGATTTCTAACTTAATCGGAATGTTACAGGTGAGGTGAGGTGAGGTGAGGTGAGGTGAGGTGAGGTGAGGTGAGGTGAGGTGAAATGGGGTTTAATATCAAGTTCACGATTGTTTTGCGATGCAAGTGTGTGTGTCTGCTTGTACCAGTCTGGACTAATGCAGATTTTTATAGTGTTAGCCCACCATGCCGCAGTTTAACATGAATACGCACTCAGACCCAGAATACTGACTCCCAGCCAACCAGTCCTTGTTTTAGCCCCTTAATGCCAAGCACCACAACAAGTTCCATCTTGAAATGTCTTTTGGTATGACGCACCCGGGGATCGAACCCCTGACCTTCCGCTCTCCGGGCAGACACTCTACCACTAGACCACGGAGTCAGTCGTCATGTTAAACGAACCCCGCATGACAAACACTTATAATTCCTATGAATGGTTTGAATCCCTGATTTGCCCTGGTCATTATTCTTGGATTGTCGACCCAGGCTTTCCTTGCGACACTCATCCATTTGCATAAATTCATATGATTCTAAAGCAATTATTCACAACAATGATACACATCAATCAATATAGTCAAAATATATTTCCATTTTGAATATAGTGCAAGTTTAACTAAGTTTAATTGATAAGAATGCAACTGCAATATCATAAGCATGATATGCATTGTTTATTGTTTCTCGTATCTTGAGGAGTGTTAAAACCACTAGAATCATTACATGGGAAGATTTAACAGATTTACCCAAATAGGCTAATTTTCTTGGAAGCTTTATCATGAAATATATTTTCTAATTTCAGTCTATTTCCCTGAAAATCAAATACTCTGCTACTTTGTGACAGTTAATTTGATACAATAATACATATATTTCGCACAAAATACCAGATAATATACCACAATGTACATATTCCTGGTCCTGGTCGACATGGTACATCTGTTTCCCCGTCTCCAGATGTGAGATCCCAGATTGTGACAGTTTTAGCAGATAGTTTAAAAGATATGAAATCAACAAGGAAATCGTAAGCATATAACAAGGCACATACAAACAGGATATTTACAAAGTCGTATTGTAATTTTAATATGAGTTTCAAAGATCAGTGAAAAAGAATTTTCAGTTCGACCTTGCTTCAAGATCTGTTTCCCTGTTTTCATTTTCATATGCTCTTGACCTTATCCTAGAAAAAGTATGACTACAAATATTTAATCATTTTGCATTGTGTCTGCTTTTTATTTGTCCTTGTAATTTTCACTAGCTTTGGGATATTTAAAGTCATCCACACTGCAGTCTGAAATAATTCATAACAATACGGCATGAGACACCCTCTCACCCGATTTCACCTCACCTCACCTCACCTCACCTCACCTCACCTCACCTCTACAGTTACGCAGTTCACAAATATAGCCAGACAAGATATTTTAGCTGAACATTTTTCTTTTCTAAGGTTACGCGGGACCACCTCCATGGTCTAGTGGTAGAGCGTCCACCAGAGAGCATAAGGTTGGGGTTCAATCCCCGGCTGCGTCATACCCATAGACGTCAAAAGATGGTACTTGTTGTTACCCTGCTTAAGGCTTGCTTAGTATACGTAAGGGGTGCCCTTTTTATTTTAGAACACAAGGTTGCTGTGCTAAATGCTTTCATTACCTGTTTGAGTGAAGTACTAAGGTGTAAAAAACTGCTTGATCATATACAGCACCATATTTTCTTTCAAGGCTGTTGTCAGTAATTCCATAATTCAGATCGACAACCCACTTAAAACACTGGACTCACTCACTGGACTTCACTCAGTATATTTGATGATAACATGGACTTCACTTTTTTTTTAGTCATGGTAGAATGGAAATATTATAGATTTAACCATATCAAATTTAACATTTGAAACTAAATTCAAGTTAGTACTGGTAAATCTACAGCTATCCAAGCACTACATTTAAAATAGTATCCCTAAACCAACATATCAGAAACTTTAATCACCTCTGAGAGTGGAAGGACCGAGGTTCGATCCCCGGCCACATCATACCAAAAGATGTTAAAAGATGGTACTTGTTGTTACCCTGTCTGGCGCTCGGCATTGAGGGGCTAAAACAAGGACTGGTCGGCTCATAGTCAGTATACTGTGTTTGAGTGGGGTATTCAAGTTAAACCGCGGGATGGTATCTGAGGGTAATCCTTCCCTAGGGGTCACCTATGAAAGTACTGTCCTGGCCATTGTTGAGCAGAATGTGCACACCTGACACACCATATCTGTTTTCCACACTATTTTACAACTATAGCTTCACTAAACGCATGCTCTGGTTCTTGCACAGATGCAAGCCCTAAGTTTGTGAAACTCACAATAACGATAGATCTATTTACAACATCTGCTCAAACACTGGCTCTAAAGATGGGACATGCCACCACGGGTGTCCTTTCAAGTCACATGACAACTTCACTTGCAAGCTATACAACTCCTTTTTTTATTTGAATAATTTCTCCATAAAACATAGAACGAGTCTCATAATAAGTTGCGTAGACAGATGCTCATGAAGTCAATCAATGGATTGGCTGATCTAGACTTGAATATTTACAGACCGCCATCATAAGCTGGAATATTGTTGAGTGTGGCGTTAAACAACAAATGAAGAAACTAAAAAACCAAGTCTATTGACACCAGTTTGAGTGATTCTTAGGTTATATTTTACACCATGTCAGCATAATGTACAAGGACAGCTTGTTTTGACACAGGTTCGAAATGTGTGTCAGTTGGTAGAACACATGTGCATTGGCAAGGTGCTGCCCCAAGATGAGAATCAGGTCAAGTCAGGGATTGAAGGCCACGACCAACTGGTTCCTGCACAGCCAAGGGACGCAACTCTGCACAGAGGTATACATCACCCTTCCACTAATTACTATTTTTCCATAATGGAAGAAGGTAATTTCACCTGAATGGCACACATTTGCTTCAGAAGAGAGATATTTCATTGTCTGTTTGTTGTTAAATGCTGCACTCAGCAATATTCCAGCTATATGACAGCGGTCTGTAAAGAATCGAGCCTGGACCAGACAATCCAGTGTTTGACATCATTAGCATCCATCTGTACAATTAGGATCGATGACGTGCATCAACAAATTTAGCCAACCTGACCACCCGATCCCGTCAGTCACCTCTTACGACAAGCATGGATTGCTGAAGATCAGTTCTAACCCAGATCTTCATGAGGGGGTATTTCATTGACAGATATTGACAACCATAAACCTCATGCCCACATCTCCAGAACATGGGGCTTCTTCTTCCCTGGCTGGCATCACTTGCTTGGTGTTAAAAACAGTATAGACACTGACATGTTATCTCACCTCAAATCTTTGAGTCACCTCTTCCTTGCCATCAGGAGTGAGCCGCAACTTAAACACCTCGTCATCGATTGTCCGCAGACCAAAATCCTTCTCCTCCAAGTTCGGGTCACGTGTTTCTGCATTCTTAATGCTCTCGTCAAATATCTTCAACTGAAAGACATAATGTTATTTCATGAGATGCTGTCAGTCACTGCCATCATCGTGCATGACACTAGACTGTGTTACAGGAATGCAACAAGAAGGGCTTGGACGGGTAACTCTGGTACTTGGGTACTCGGGTCGTGGGTGTCATGAGTAGGGCCCGGGTACCCACAGGACTACCCAGACCCTTGGTGAATCACGTGATATATTGTTTAATGACAAAAACTCACTGTAGCTCAGTGGTTACACTACAAGTCGCTAATGTTCACATTTCTTTCTGACGATGCACACATTCCTTTTGACTTGTATATGTCTGGGTAAGCTTTATTTAACTTCAGTGTACGAATGATTTGATCGTTCAATACATGTATGTAAATTAATTTGGACAGGGCTGCAGTAATCAGGTATTTTGTTCCCAACTCTTGAGACCTACAGTGTATCCAGGTAGGGTAGAGTAATAGGAGGCCTGGTACCCGGGTAGTAAATTTGGACTTGTCCCAGCCCTAGCAACAAGCATGACATACTGGGGACCTATTCTGATCTAGATTCCACACAAGGCACAGATGAATTGATATCATAGTGGGACAAAAAAACACTTTTCATTTGATATTCATAAATTAATAAATCCATAAAAGGAGGTATGGGTGCTTCCCCTAGCCATGCAAGGATCTCCAACAATAATGATACAATTTGTATTCGATTAATTCTATTCCGATCAGTCACTGAAAGTTAATCCTGATTTCCATGTTACTTCACTGATACTGAACAGTCTCCCAGAAATGATGGCAGTCTCCACTTTGTACATGTTGTACCCTTTAAAGAATAAACTCATGTGGAACTAAAGTTGTGTATGTGTACCTAGAGAACACCAGCAGGAAACAATAGGCCGTTTATGATAGGTTCAAATACCAGATTTGCCCTAATTATGATTCCGTTGACAAATTGCTGACATAACTATAATCCATGGTTTCAACAATGTGATAACAGCCCATATCTATGTACCTTTAAGCCTTCGTCACCCAAGATCTTATCTTAACTTGTATTCCATTACAATCCATTTGGACAGTAACCAGTTTGTAAAACCCCAAAGTCAGCTGGTCGGACTGACATCATTGTGTGACTGAGTTGGATAAGATGAAACTTTTGATTGCCTCATCACACATGATCTTATACAGTCAAGTCTCGTTAATCCGACAATCGGCTTTATCCGACACTAATGATGGGAACCGATTATATCGGTGCTATTTAGACCCGTCTCTCACTCCGACACAGCTAATTCGCAACGAAATACTGAAATCACTCATTAATCAGTCTCGTTAATCCGATACAGTCATCAGCAGACTCCGTGGTCATCTGCCCGCGAGTACACAGCCCCGTGTTTTGATGCGAGACGAGTCGGCAAGTAGCTGTATATTTCAACGGCTGCAGAGATAAACTTGCTTAACAATAAACAATTACTGCTTTAAATATACAAAACAGGATTAATCACATGCCTAGATTACCTCAATCTCATTAAAATCGGATACAAGTTCTCGCTTCTGCTGAGGACATCCCATTACAGGTCACATCAGAACGTCCTTTCACGAACTTTGACCGACCAATGAAATTACTAACAGGATGTCGACATTAGCCACTCAGAAAGCAGCTTTCTTAAGCATTGCGGCACCAGTTTCAAATTAGCGACTTCCATTCCAGACTATGCTTTAAAAATCAGTCATACAGTCCGTAACAGTAGTTTTGTGTTAAACTTTAGTGGTTGTAGAAAAAGTGTTGATTAGAAAACAAATTCTGCTGACAATGTAACACAACAATATGAATATTTCATTTTTCATTTTCCTACGTGTTCGTATCGTTCTCTAACGTGTAGATGTCCGATTTTCGATCACGAACGTTGATACTACCTAATTTTGTTTATCCGACATACTCGGTAATCCGACATAATCATATGCAACCAACAATGTCGGATTAACGGGACTTGACTGTATGCACTTTGAGTTGTCATACTGAGACTGAGTTCCGGAGGGTAGGCAAGAAGGTAGAGCTTAACGCCACACAAATACACTTCAAACAACATAAGTCTTTAGGACTTTTGAAATCATCATGACAGATTCAGGAGTAACAGGGTGTAGTTTGTGTACACCCTGCAACCATTCAGCTTGTACAATCCTGTACACCCCACTGCAGACAAATGTCATAACATGCAGTCTTATAACTGAAAGTCTTATCAAAACCTGGATGGTTCCGCTTCTTTCTAAAAGACACTGGTGTGAGCCCAGGATAGACACAAGACACTTTAACATCAAACACCAAATTCACTGTATCAAGATATGATAATGGGTTTTTGTGGATAAGTCATTAAAACCTATGTATTGTATATCACTTCACTTGCATAATGAAAAAATATCCCCAAAACAAGCAATACCAAGACTGAAAAAAAACCCAGATCATTTTGTTGATGGATATCTAAAAGTTAATGTGCAAACAAATACATCAGGGCCCACTTACACAAAGCTATCTTAGCTCTAAGAGGATCGTAACTACCATACTGTACATAGGCTTACGATAGTCTTAGTGCTAAGATCGCTTTGTGCAAGTGGGCCCATGGGCTCGAAATAAGGGACTTGATTGAACTTCACCAGATGCATGTTGACATGAAAACATAGTTGAACCAGACAAAGCCAGGTTGCACCCGGGTCCCATAAATTTATCCAAGCAGGCCAGTCTGCTGCCAGTGTCTCATACATTAATGATGCATTGCTGTGAAATGCAATAGGAACATGTATACATACTCCTGCCCAACAGTTTGATTACGTCAAGCCCATGAAAGCATGAAAAATTACACACAGTACAAGGTGAGTGAAATAGTATCGTAAATAAAGCATGCAGGTATTGAGTGTGTTAAATATCAATTTGTGTGGACAAGAAAAGGTTGGACACAAATTTGAAATTTTTGGCATGTAGACAAATATAAGGGTGCACTTTTCAATAATAGGCTGCATTGGTGCATGTTATACATATATAGCTAAACCGAGCCCTGAACATACATATTGTGTCCATAGACACACTGTCAAGAAGCACATGACCAGACTATAGGCTGTGTTGGCAGAGGGTCAGTTGCAGGTAATAGCCACCCCATATTGTTGTCAAAAACATTAGACAGACAGTACGAGCCCACATTCGTATTCTACAGTAAAAATTGTACCACGTATTTAACATTCACATGCCTCTAGTGACCATGGTGACAATGTCACTTTGTTTCATCATGTTCTATTGTATTATTAACTATTAGCTATCAGTAAACTCATCAGTAAGTTGTATTCAATATCTATATGACTATTGTCTTCTAGTGAGTGACACTTCTGTTCTATTGAACTATTTGCTATCAGTAAACTCATCAGTAAGTTGTATTCAATATCTATATGACTATTGTCTTCTAGTGAGTGACACTTCTGTTCTATTGAACTATGTGCTATCAGTAAACTCATCAGTAAGTTGTATTCAATATTGACATGACTATTGTCCACTAGAGACAGTGACACTTCTGTTCCATTGAACTGTTTTATCAGTAAACTCATCAGTAAGTTGTATTCAATATTGACATGACTATTGTCCACTAGAGACAGTGACACTTCTGTTCCATTGAACTATTTTATCAGTAAACTCATCAGTAAGTTGTATTCAATATTGACATGACTATTGTCCACTAGAGACAGTGACACTTCTGTTCTATTGAACTATTTTATCAGTAAACTCACAGCCTCTTCATGGATAGCATCCTTCTTGTTGGTGTTGGCAATTTCCTCAAGGAGATGCAAGCCCTTGTCAAACTTTTGGTACAAGCCCAGGCCCATCACCTTCAGGGAGCTACTGAGCCTGTCATTGTTCTGAACACAGCCACCAAGCATGTAGAGGGTCTTGCCAAGTAGAAAGCGCTCGTCCTTGATATCAAAGTGGTCATCATAGTAAGGAAATCTGATGACCTTGACCTTCACCCAATCTTCCTCCTCCTGTAACATAAAATGCTCAACAGTTATCTGGGTGTGAGGGTGAGGGTGTGGGTGTGGGTGTGGGTGTGGGTGTGGGTGAGGGCAAGGGTGAGGGTGAGGGTGAGGGTGAGGGTGAGGGTGAGGATGCGTGTGTGGGTGAGGGTGAGGGTGAGGGTGAGGGTGTGGGTCTGGGTGAGGGTGTGGGTGAGGGTGAGGGTGTGGGTGAGGGTGAGGGTGTGGGTGTGGGTGTGGGTGAGGGTGAGGGTGTGGGTGAGGGTGTGGGTGAGGGTGAGGGTGTGGGTGAGGGTGTGGGTGAGGGTGTGGGTGAGGGTGTGGGTGTGGGTGAGGGTGTGGGTGAAGGTGAGGGTGAGGATGCGTGTGTGGGTGAGGGTGAGGGTGAGGGTGAGGGTGTGGGTCTGGGTGAGGGTGTGGGTGTGGGTGAGGGTGAGGGTGTGGGTGAGGGTGAGGGTGTGGGTGTGGGTGTGGGTGTGGGTGAGGGTGTGGGTGAGGGTGAGGGTGTGGGTGAGGGTGAGGGTGAGGGTGAGGGTGTGGGTGAGGGTGAGGGTGAGGGTGTGGGTGAGGGTGAGGGTGAGGGTGTGGGTGAGGGTGTGGGTGAGGGTGAGGGTGTGGGTGAGTTGAGGGTGTGGGTGTGGTGAGGGTGTGGGTGTGGGTGAGGGTGTGGGTAAGGGTGTGGTAAGGGTGTGGGAGTGGGTGTGGGTGTGGCTGTGGGTGAGGGTGAGGGTGTGGGTGAGGGTGAGGGTGTGGTGAGGGTGTGGATGAGGGTGTGGGTGAGGTTGTGGGTGAGGGTGAGGGTGAGGGTGTGGTGAGGGTGAGGGTGTGGGTGAGGGTGAGGGTGTGGTGAGGGTGAGGGTGTGGTGAGGGTGAGGGTGTGGGATGAGGGTGAAGGTGAGGGTGAGAGTGAGGGTATATTACTAAACAAACAGGACACGAGAATTGGGGAAGGCAGATATTCCAGACACTAGTCTGTCAAGCTGACTGAGTTATCTCCCTTAGACCATGACCCACCTCAGGATTGTCAGGTGTTGGTTGCAGTGCTAGGTCAGCCATGTTAGAGGTGAGCAGGTGCTTGACGGCTGCCAGGAGCGACAGTCTGAAGGAGATGGGGTGGCTGAAGTCCTCCTGCAGCATCACCTCGTATGACACCCTTGCCGCATCTGATCACACAACATTAACACATTTCATCTGATGTACATTTCAGTGATTAGCGAGTGAATAAGAGATTCAGAATTATACATCTTATCAACAATATCTCAGTCATACAGTGTTTATTAATAACTAGAAGATATTCTATACTGACTGACATCTGACATGTCACATAAGGCATCAGTAAGTGCGAAGCAAAGACATTATCTGATGTCCACAATATATTCTTTGTATTCCATATCAATTCTGATGCAAAGGATCCAAACATTTCCCCGAAGACGATGTTGCTGGCATGTTTGTATATGTGATGATCTATATGGGGCGTACCTGCATAATTGTCTCCCTTGATGAAGTGATCCATGAGGATGTTTGTGGCGTAGCTGTCAGGGAAAATACCATAGTCCCTCTGGAATCAAGCAAAGGAGGTTTGTGTCATCAGCTAAATAAGGCTCCTGAGGACATGAGAAATGACCTCAGATACTTATTATTGTTTGTTGTTTAACATTGCACTCATAGGTCATGTAGGTGAGGTGAGGTGAAATGGGGTTCAACGTTGTGTTCACATGTGTGTTTGTGTGTGTGGGTGTCGGAGGCTGCTTGTACCAGTCCGGACTGATGCTGATTTATAGTGCTGGTCCACTGAGATACTATGCCTCAGTTTAACATGAATACCCCACTCAGACACAGTATACTGACTCAAAGCCGACAAATCTCTGTTTTAGCTACTAAATGCTGAGTGCCTGGGTGAGTGCCAGGGTGAGTGAGTGCCAGGGTGAGTGAGTGAGTGAGTGAGTTTGGTTTACGCCGCCTTTAGCAATATTCCAGCAATATCACGGCGGGGGACACCAGAAATGGGCTTCACACATTGTACCCATGTCGGGATTCGAACCCGGGTCTTCGGCGTGACGAGTGAACGCTTTAACCACTAGGCTACCCAACCGCCCCGAGTGAGAGTGAGAGTGAGAGTGAGAGAGAGAGAGAGGGTAGTCCTAAAAAATACTTCAGTTGTATGTATCTTTATGTGGAGAAAAGCCCAAAGTGACACAGTTCATAGACAATGACCTACTAGCCTGGCATCATGCTGACGTACCAAGAATCATGCTTGGAATATAAACCAACCACCAGCATATCCTGGTGTTGCTAAGGGATACAGCTCTGCAGTGAATTCAGATCACAGGTCTTGATGTATCCCATTCTCCTATAAAGTCATGTAGTTACCCTATTTCTCATCATGTCCAGGAGTCTGTCCGTCAGCCCGAGATCGATGTACGCACGGACGATGGCATGGACTATTGAGTCTCTGACTGGGATGGCATCCTCACTATTTCGAAATCTGTAGTGAAAAAATCCATGAATTTTCAATTACAAGAGCAACAAGTTAATAGAGACACACAATGTCTAGATCTATGTACTTGACTTGAATATTATAGTTTCATATGTCATTATCACATACTGCTTCATGACCAGAATTATAGTATCATATGTCATTATCACATACTGCTTCATGACCAGGATTATATTATCATATGTCATTATCAGATACCGCTTCATGACCAGGATTATAGTATCACATGTCATTATCACATACTGCTTCATGACCAGGATTATAGCATCATATGTCATTATCACATTCCGCTTCATGACCAGAATTGTAGTATCACATGTCATTATCACATACTGCTTCATGACCAGGATTATATTATCATATGTCATTATCACATACCACTTCATGACCAGGATTATAGTATCATATGTCATTATCACATACTGCTTCATGACCAGGATTATAGTATCATATGTCATTATCACATACCGCTTCATGACCAGGATTATAGTATCATATGTCATTATCACAGGATTATTTAAGGAGACACCATCATGATTACTGAGGTCTTCAGAAATGTTAATCACCAAAACTGGACCACACCAACAAGTGGTTCATAGCTTTAACCTTAATGCCCACAATCACGGTATGGTACCAGCCATCACAACCTAGGTAGCAATCATCCAAACCCCATCTTTTAGCAAGTTTGTCAATCTAAACAACACAAGTAAGGTGATGTGTATAAAGTCATCAACGTATATAGGACACCAGCAAAGTGAGTGAGTGAGTATTGTTTTATAACTCATAGTAATATTCCAGCAATTTCACGGCAGGGGACACCAAAAAAGGGCTCCACACATTGTACCCATATGGGGAATCAAACCCTGGTCTTTGGCGTGGCAAGCAAATGCTTTAACCACTAGGCTACACCACCGCCTCCAAAAGTAAGGTGACAGATTACCTGCATATAAAGTCGTCAATGTACAGGACACAAGTGAGTGATTGAGTATGGTCTTACGCCGCTTTTAGCAATATGCAAGTAATATCACAGCTGGGGACACCAGAAATGGGCTTCATACATTGTACCCACGTTTGTAATCATACCCAGATCTTCAGGTGGGCAAGCAAATGCTTTTAACACTAGGCTACCCGACCGCCTCAAAGGACACAATTTAATTGAAAGGTTATGTAAAGGATACAGGTAGTAACAGTGTAAGGTGACAGGTTACCTGTGTATGAGGTCCTCCATGTAGTCGGCGTCCGAGACATCCATCTCGTGCATCTTGTTGACCAGCTGTACACACACAACAGTAGTTACAGCAACCAGAGTAGTTTACGGACATAGACACAACGATAGTTACAGCAACCAGAGTAGTTTACGGACATAGACACAACGGTAGTTACAGCAACCAGAGTAGTTTACGGACATAGACACAACGGTAGTTACAGCAACCAGAGTAGTTTACGGACATAGACACAACGGCAGTTACAGCAACCAGAGTAGTTTACGGACATAGACACAACGGTAGTTACAGCAACCAGAGTAGTTTACGGACATAGACACAACGGTAGTTACAGCAACCAGAGTAGTTTACGGACATAGACACAACGGTAGTAACAGCAACCAGAGTAGTTTACGGACAAAGAGTCAAAGACACAACACTAGTTATAGCAGCCAAACTATTGCAGTGTAGTTTACGCACATAGACACAACACTAGTTATAGCAGCCAAACTATTGCAGTGTACTTTACGCACATAGACACAACACTAGTTATAGCAGCCAAAGTATTGCAGTGTACTTTACGCACATAGACACAACACTAGTCATAGCAGCCAAAGTATTGCAGTGTACTTTATGGACATAGACACAACACTAGTTATAGCAGCCAAACTATTGCAGTGTAGTTTACGGACATAGACACAGCACTAGTTATAGCAGCCAAAGTACTGCAGTGTAGTTTACGGACATAGACACAACACTAGTTATAGCAGCCAAACTATTGCAGTGTAGTTTACGGACATAGACACAACACTAGTTATAGCAGCCAAACTATTGCAGTATAGTTTACGCACATAGACACAACACTAGTCATAGCAGCCAAAGTATTGCAGTGTACTTTATGGATATAGACACAACACTAGTTATAGCAGCCAAACTATTGCAGTGTACTTTACGGACATAGACACAACACTAGTTATAGCAGCCAAACTATTGCAGTGTAGTTTACGCACATAGACACAACACTAGTTATGGCAGCCAAAGTATTGCAGTGTAGTTTACGGACATAGACACAACACTTGTTATAGCAGCCAAACTATTGCAGTGTAGTTTACGGACATAGACACAGCACTAGTTATAGAAGCCAAACTATTGCAGTGTAGTTTACGCACATAGACACAACACTAGTTATAGCAGCCAAAGTACTGCAATGTAGTTTACGGACATAGACACAACACTAGTTATAGCAGCCAAACTATTGCAGTGTAGTTTACGGACATAGACACAACACTAGTTATAGCAGCCAAAGTATTGCAGTGTAGTTTACGGACATAGACACAACACTTGTTATAGCAGCCAAACTATTGCAGTGTAGTTTACGGACATAGACACAGCACTAGTTATAGCAGCCAAAGTATTGCAGTGTAGTTTACGGACATAGACACAGCACTAGTTATAGCAGCCAAACTATTGCAGTGTAGTTTACGGACATAGACACAACACTTGTTATAGCAGCCAAACTATTGCAGTGTAGTTTACGGACATAGACACAGCACTAGTTATAGCAGCCAAAGTATTGCAGTGTAGTTTACGGACATAGACACAGCACTAGTTATAGCAGCCAAAGTATTGCAGTGTAGTTTACGGACATAGACACAACACTTGTTATAGCAGCCAAACTATTGCAGTGTAGTTTACGGACATAGACACAGCACTAGTTATAGCAGCCAAACTATTGCAGTGTAGTTTACGCACATAGACACAACACTAGTTATAGCAGCCAAAGTACTGCAGTGTAGTTTACGGACATAGACACAACACTAGTTATAGCAGTCAAACTATTGCAGTGTAGTTTACGGACATAGACACAACACTAGTTATAGCAGCCAAACTATTGCAGTGTAGTTTACGCACATAGACACAACACTAGTTATAGCAGCCAAAGTATTGCAGTGTAGTTTACGGACATAGACACAACACTGGTTATAGCAGCCAAAGTATTGCAGTGTACTTTACGCACATAGACACAACACTAGTTATAGCAGCCAAACTATTGCAGTATAGTTTACGCACATAGACACAACACTAGTCATAGCAGCCAAAGTATTGCAGTGTAGTTTACGGACATAGACACAGCACTAGTTATAGCAGCCAAACTATTGCAGTGTAGTTTACGGACATAGACACAACACTAGTCATAGCAGCCAAAGTATTGCAGTGTAGTTTACGGACATAGACACAACACTAGTCATAGCAGCCAAAGTATTGCAGTGTAGTTTACGCACATAGACACAGCACTAGTTATAGCAGCCAAACTATTGCAGTGTAGTTTACGGACATAGACACAACACTTGTTATAGCAGCCAAACTATTGCAGTGTAGTTTACGGACATAGACACAGCACTAGTTATAGCAGCCAAAGTATTGCAGTGTAGTTTACGGACATAGACACAACACTTGTTATAGCAGCCAAACTATTGCAGTGTAGTTTACGGACATAGACACAGCACTAGTTATAGCAGCCAAACTATTGCAGTGTAGTTTACGCACATAGACACAACACTAGTTATAGCAGCCAAAGTATTGCAGTGTAGTTTACGGACATAGACACAACACTAGTTATAGCAGCCAAACTATTGCAGTGTAGTTTACGGACATAGACACAACACTAGTTATAGCAGCCAAAGTATTGCAGTGTAGTTTACGGACATAGACACAACACTGGTTATAGCAGCCAAAGTATTGCAGTGTAGTTTACGCACATAGACACAACACTAGTTATAGCAGCCAAACTATTGCAGTATAGTTTACGCACATAGACACAACACTAGTCATAGCAGCCAAAGTATTGCAGTGTACTTTATGGACATAGACACAACACTAGTTATAGCAGCCAAACTATTGCAGTGTAGTTTAAGGACAAAAACACAACACTAGTTATAGCAGCCAAAGTATTGCAGTGTAGTTTACGGACATAGGCACAACACTAGTTATAGCAGCCAAAGTATTGCAGTGTAGTTTAAGGACAAAGACACAACACTAGTTATAGCAGCCAAACTATTGCAGTGTAGTTTACGCACACAGACACAACACTAGTTATAGCAGCCAAACTATTGCAGTGTAGTTTACGCACACAGACACAACACTAGTTATAGCAGCCAAACTATTGCAGTGTTCTTTACGCACATAGACACAACACTAGTTATAGCAGCCAAACTATTGCAGTGTACTTTAAGGACAAAGACACAACACTAGTTATAGCAGCCAAACTATTGCAGTGTAGTTTACGCACACAGACACAACACTAGTTATAGCAGCCAAACTATTGCAGTGTTCTTTACGCACATAGACACAACACTAGTTATAGCAGCCAAACTATTGCAGTGTACTTTAAGGACAAAGACACAACACTAGTTATAGCAGCCAAACTATTGCAGTGTAGTTTACGCACACAGACACAACACTAGTTATAGCAGCCAAACTATTGCAGTGTAGTTTACGCACATAGACACAACACTAGTTATAGCAGCCAAACTATTGCAGTGTAGTTTACGGACATAGACACAACACTAGTTATAGCAGCCAAAGTATTGCAGTGTAGTTTACGCACACAGACACAACTCTTGTTATAGCAGCCAAAGTATTGCAGTGTAGTTTACGGACATAGACACAACACTAGTTATAGCAGCCAAACTATTGCAGTGTAGTTTACGCACACAGACACAACACTAGTTATAGCAGCCAAAGTATTGCAGTGTAGTTTACGGACATAGACACAACACTAGTTATAGCAGCCAAACTATTGCAGTGTAGTTTACGCACACAGACACAACACTAGTTATAGCAGTCAAAGTATTGCAGTGTACTTTACGGACATAGACACAACACTAGTTATAGCAGCCAAACTATTGCAGTGTAGTTTACGCACATAGACACAACACTAGTTATAGCAGTCAAACTATTGCAGTGTACTTTACGGACATAGACACAACACTAGTTATAGCAGTCAAACTATTGCAGTGTACTTTACAGACATAGACACAACACTAGTTAAAGCAGCCAAACTATTGCAGTGTACTTTACGGACATAGACACAACACTAGTTATAGCAGCCAAACTATTGCAGTGTACTTTATGGACATAGACGCAACACTAGTTATAGCAGCCACACTATTGCAGTGTAGTTTAGGCACATAGACACAACACTAGTTATAGCAGCCAAAGTATTGCAGTGTAGTTTACAGACATAGACACAACACTAGTTATAGCAGCCAAACTATTGCAGTGTACTTTACGCACATAGACACAACACTAGTTATAGCAGCCAAACTATTGCAGTGTAGTTTACGCACATAGACGCAACACTAGTTATAGCAGCCAAAGTATTGCAGTGTAGTTTACGGACATAGACACAACACTAGTTATAGCAGCCAAAGTATTGCAGTGTACTTTACGCACATAGACACAACACTAGTTATAGCAGCCAAACTATTGCAGTGTACTTTACGGACATAGACACAACACTAGTTATAGCAGCCAAACTATTGCAGTGTAGTTTACGCACATAGACACAACACTAGTTATAGCAGCCAAAGTATTGCAGTGTAGTTTACGGACATAGACACAACACTAGTTATAGCAGCCAAACTATTGCAGTGTAGTTTACGGACATAGACACAACACTAGTTATAGCAGCCAAACTATTGCAGTGTAGTTTACGCACATAGACACAACACTAGTTATAGCAGCCAAAGTACTGCAGTGTAGTTTACGGACATAGACACAACACTAGTTATAGCAGCCAAACTATTGCAGTGTAGTTTACGGACATAGACACAACACTAGTTATAGCAGCCAAACTATTGCAGTGTAGTTTACGCACATAGACACAACACTAGTTATAGCAGCCAAAGTATTGCAGTGTAGTTTACGGACATAGACACAACACTGGTTATAGCAGCCAAAGTATTGCAGTGTAGTTTACGCACATAGACACAACACTAGTTATAGCAGCCAAACTATTGCAGTATAGTTTACGCACATAGACACAACACTAGTCATAGCAGCCAAAGTA